CGCTATATTGACAGCGTGCGGGGTTAGATATTTTCAATTTCAATTTTTACATTCAATTTTAATGTTATTATTTGCAAATTTATTGTCATAATAATTTATGTGCAAGTTTACAGTCTGTGATACAAAATCAGATATTTTGCTATTATTTCAATAATATTTCAATTATATAAATGCCTATGTATGAGTATGCATATATTTTTAATAATTTTCTTAATTAGCTTCTATATTTTTTCAGTTGTACATCAAGCAGGTAGCATTATCAGCTCACTTGTGAGCATGGGTTGGGCAATGGCTAGTTATCATCGCAGCATTCGATTAGCTTAACAAGATAAATCTAATATCAGTGCTATAGGAACTATTTTACAATTTTTCTGGCATTTTCTTATTGCAGGTACATATATATCCAATAATTAATATACAAAATTAAATATTATTCATCACACACTTTGTATCAAAATAATATATTTTTTAAAATTTATTTTAAATTTATTTAATCATTTTTATCATTGTGATTGTAGTGGCAAGGATCTTATTGCTCAGTGTCATTGCAAGCATCTGGCCTGTATATACCATAATATATTGTGTAATACATTGGCTAAGTATGACAATATAGATTTTGATAGATTCCCATGGAATATTGGAATTTTGTCGGACTTACAGTCATCCACCACATATGCAGCCTACAATTAAAGAACGCATTTATTCCATATGATTTGCTTCCGTTATTGGAATATTTAAAATAAAAATTTTATTAATAAATTTCGATGAAATAATTTATAAGAGGTTGAAGAAACTATGAAACAAATTCAGTCTCATAAAAGGGTAGTTGGAACAATAGTGGTGAATGCAGAAGGTATTACATGAGATCATTGACATGATTTACTTGTAGTTGTAAACAAAAATTTATAAAATTATATTTGTTTTAGGTATTCCTATAAAGTCAACATTAGATAATACGACAACAGTTCAATACGCAGGTTTGATAAGTCAATTGTCAGATAAAGCTCGTTCTGTCGTACGTGACTTGAATCCAACAAATGATTTAACTTTCTTGCGCATACGTAGCAAAAAACATAAAATTATGATGGCACCAGATAAAGAATTCATATTAATAGTAGTACAAAATCCAGTTGATTGATATTTAAAAGAAACAAAAATATATTTCAAAGTTAAGATTTATTTTTTTGGTTGTTAATTTAATCTGTATGCTACATTGGATGTTAATATCTATTCAATTAAATAAAGAAAAATAAAAGAATAAAGCTTAAAAATTATACAAAATGCAGTATTTAATTACTAATTTAACAAATTATGAACTTTTAGAGTTTTTAAATAGTGCTTTCTTCTTTGGTAACAATATTATATTTTTAAGTTTGATAATTATGAAAATATGTATATATAGTAATTCATGGCATGTTTATTTTTGTATTTAATACAATTATAAATGTACATTTCTCATCAATAAAATATCACAGTATCTTTTTTATAATTTAATTTTAATATTGAGATTGTTTTTATTCAGTGGAAAAAAAAATGTGTAGTTGGTCCCTATTAATTATACATACATATAAGAGTGTCGCACAAATAATTCTATGCAGTCTTTTTAAGATAATATAAAAATACTTATAAATATAATCAATTAAAATACATATAATCAAAATTGTATGTATTAAAATTCAATAGCATATAAAAAAGATTTTTTAAAATTATATATATATAATAAAAATCAACATTTTATATATATATATATATATATATATATATATATTTATTTATTGTATATCATAAATATATATTTATTTATTTATATTTACCTATCTTTTTTTTATATATATGGTAGAAATACAATGTATGAGTTATTTTATTTTGCAAAATTTTTGAAAGTTAAACTATTAATTACAATGAAATTATTTCATATAATACCGAGATTCTTTTCATAATAAAGATTAAGAGAGAGTTAGATTTTATCATAAGATTTATAAAAGTCATAAGATAAGGTTAATTGCATATTGTATAGTTTATCTCTCATTTTTTAAAGTAAATAAATATCAAAGTTACATTGCTTGAACTGGTGCGTTTGAAGTATGTTGTCTTTTTGAGGGATGCAAGACAATATAGTACAAAAGCATTGCTGTAATTCCCAAGAAAAAGGAAATGATACAAATAATAAAGATTATATTAAAGTACTAAGCCTCTTTAACTGCAGGAGGACAAGCATATTGCCATAATAAATTTGCTGCAATATTTTCAAAAAAGCAGATAACATAGAAAGATAGATGTTTTCAAAATGTTTTGCTATCTACAGCATTGAGATATATAAAAATGTGCACTATGCCAATAACGGAAGCAAATAATATGGAATAAATGCGTTCTTTAATTGTAGGCTGCATATGTGGTGGATGACTGCAAGTCCGACAAAATTCCAATATTCCATGGGAATCTATCAAAATCCATATTGTCATACTTAGCCAATGTATTACACAATATATTATGGTATATACAGGCCAGATGCTTGCAATGACACTGAGCAATAAAATCCTTGCCACTACAATCACAATGATAAAAATGATTAAATAAATTTAAAATAAATTTTTAAAAATATATTATTTTGATACAAATTGTGTGATGAATAATATTTAATTTTGTATATTAATTATTGGATATATATGTACCTAAAATAAGAAAATGCCAGAAAAATTGAATTTGCTTATTTATTTAAAGATGCTTATCATATACAAAAATGAATGATATAATCTCTAAAAACTCACCTTAAAAAAAGGTAAAAAAAGGCGACCAGTTAAGGGCACGCCATTAACAAAAATTATCCATTGCAAACCCATGTACAATAGAATTGTATGAAAAATTATCGATTATAAACCCATGTACAATCGTAACAAAAGTAATGAAATAAAAAAAAAATTGCGCCAAGTGAAAGTAGAAACTTGTACCAGTGGAAAATTAAAGTTGCAGACATATATAGAGTCGTATAATGAATCAAAAAAATTTAAATTTGCAAATGTAGAATTGTACCATAAAAAAACTTATCTTTTAAAAAAAAGATAAACAAGATGCCAAGTCCATGCGCCATGTGAAAAAGTGTTAAACAAAAAAGTATTTTTAAGTAAAAAAATCTATCAATTGACAAAAATTTATGTTCTAAAATTAATATCTCTACAAAAAGTAATGTCCAATTATTGCGCGAATAAATAAACATTTTTATAAAAAATTAAAATTTAAAAACTTATGCAAATTTAAAATTAATATAAAATAAAAAGAAATAAAAAAATTTTAGTTAAAAAAACTGGGCGCGCTGCAATGAGTTAAAAGTAACAATTTAATTTTAATATCATTAGAATATTATTTAGCAGCGCGCCCAGTTTTTTTAACTAAAATTTTTTTATTTCTTTTTATTTTATATTAATTTTAAATTTGCATAAGTTTTTAAATTTTAATTTTTTATAAAAATGTTTATTTATTCGCGCAATAATTGGACATTACTTTTTGTAGAGATATTAATTTTAGAACATAAATTTTTGTCAATTGATAGATTTTTTTACTTAAAAATACTTTTTTGTTTAACACTTTTTCACATGGCGCATGGACTTGGCATCTTGTTTATCTTTTTTTTTAAAAGATAAGTTTTTTTATGGTACAATTCTACATTTGCAAATTTAAATTTTTATTGATTCATTATACGACTCTATATATGTCTGCAACTTTAATTTTCCACTGGTACAAGTTTCTACTTTCACTTGGCGCAATTTTTTTTTTATTTCATTACTTTTGTTACGATTGTACATGGGTTTATAATCGATAATTTTTCATACAATTCTATTGTACATGGGTTTGCAATGGATAATTTTTGTTAATGGCGTGCCCTTAACTGGTCGCCTTTTTTTACCTTTTTTTAAAGGTGAGTTTTTTAAACAACTAACACTAAAATAATCTTAATTAAAAAACTAATTATAGTTAAAATTAATATGGAAAGAAACAAATATACTAAACACGCGTACACAACACGTAAAATTTATTTATTTCAAGGAAAAACAGCGTAAAGCGATCTCTATCGTATTATAACTCTGAGCGTATTATGCGATGCAATCTGTGGCACAGCGAGTGGACTGATTGTCGTATACAGATTGCAAGAAACATTTGAACTAAAAAAAATTGAATATCTAAATTATATGTGTGGGCGTTTGCATTAATAATTAAATTCCTTGCAGAATTAAAAAATAATTTATTTTGTTCCATTACAAAAAAAATTATCAAATAATGATATATTGATTATTACACATTTATACACATAATAACTTATTTGAAAAAAGTGAAAAAAAAATCTGAAAAAGGCAGGGGTTTGAACTTGAAATGTCCACGATTTCAGCTCGTCATCTTAGTTGCTCGGCTACGCATGCTACTTGACGTTCTTTTATACCGGCATGATACATTAGGCATGGAAACTTTAAATAATTGTACATTATTACACGTTGACATTGCACTTCATATTAATAGAAGCGGCGATAAATATTAAATATAATATAATATATATTAAAAATTACATTCCAAAATCCAGGTGGTCGAACAATTAATCGTTCTTTTTATTTTAATTAAAATAAGATTTATATATTTCATTACACATATACATAGATAGATATATATATTTTAATAATTATATTTAGTTTTATACAAATTATATAAATACATATATATATATATATATATATATATAAATAAAGAGAAAAGATCGCACATATACAGAATGAATACGTGATACTGTGTTAACACGAAAATTATGGGCGTAGCACGGACTCGCACCAAATACAAACTTTATCGACCCTGCCAGAAAATGGGTGTGCAGTTAGTTCCGATATTAAAAACGGGTGCGAGGGGCGCTTCAAGCAGTCCCGTAAAAACGGTAACAGCCAAAACGCCGGCCTGGCCGCTCTCATCTTTCTCTCTGGCGCGACTTTCACGCGTGTGTGAGAAACGAAACACACCGATGTGTCTCGCGATGACGTGTAAAAGGGACGGGAAGGAGGAGAGAGAAAGGCGCGGCGCGTGCGTCTCTGAGCAAGGAGTAACCTTACTTTATATCGTTACGATACGCGAAACGTGATCGCGAAATACGGCATCTCGTATATGTGCGAATATATATGGTTTATGATAAACGCCGCAGGAAAATTCAAACGCGAACGAGAAGATCCACCCGTTTCATTATCGAATGCGCTAGCATCTTTCGCGATATATTTTGAATTTTATAAAACTTGGAATATTCTATCTCTCGAGAAAAAAAAGAAAGAAAGAAAAACACCCACTCGCGTCGCGCGAATCCTTTCTGAGAACGCGAAATATTCTAAAAATACGTCTGGCCGTTGTTACAAAGACCCAAGGTTGTATGATAATCCTATCGTAGTGTTTGTCCTTATGTGTGTACGTGGAGAACTTGAATTTTATGCATGTTCATCTTGATTGACAGTACATTGACGGGTTATACACGTTTTTCATTGTTCGCACGAATAATTTGTTATATCTCGCTAAATGGTTTTTCTTTTTCGTGATTAATGTAGAAGCACCGTTACAAACTTCGCGAACTCGAAATAATATTTGAGAGAAAAAGTTTTGATTTTTCTCTGATTTCTTACGCATTTTTTTCACATTATAAAAGTATTGAATTAAAAAACAAAAGAATTTTAGAAATATTTCTTGCTGATCGAAGAACAAGTTTTATATATATATGTTTTGAAATTTTTGTATTTATATTGATAATTCTAATCAACTTCATTGTTGAATTTTTTGTGTCAATCATATGTGAGAGATAAAGGTCAAACATAAGTGTAGAGATAATTTTATCTATAACGATAAAACATACATATATAAACAAATATATAACATTACATCTATAGAAATAATATTTCATTATTAAAAGATTGTGTCGTCAACTCTTGAAGATGAATTGTGGTGAGAAGAATTTGATGAATATCAATTTGCGATACTGCAAACTCTGTATTTTGGATATATGTATTCCTTAAATTTAATGTTTGTGTTCTATCTCTGCCATGTAAGATACTGGCCAATGGATAATTAATGCTCCGTGAGTTTGATTGTAATAGTTGCAAGAAGTTAGTGCCTCTTCAGGAAGATTTCTCAAACGATATTTCTACAGAAAATCTGGAAAACGCATCTGTCCACGAAAAATCATGACTGACATTAATATAAACGATCTAGAAAACCTTATCACATATTTTGCAAAGAACACTTACAAGGCCACAGTTGATAATGTCAGAGTAATTATTCTACAATTATATATTCTTACAATTGTACATGTTAGCACTGTTAAGCTTTTTATGGAATAAATGACATGTATTCGTTACAGATTCAAGAAATTATGCAAAGATGTAAGCTGCTTGCATCTTTCGATTATGATTATCACATAATTGACAACTATGATGGCATCCTCTGCGGACATTATCCTAGAGATCTTATAATATTGGAACATGATAAATTACAAAATTCAAAAAGTATGATACATCACTGCCACCGTCGTACATACGAGAAAGCATGACTGAAACTATATATGTAAAGAATAAGCTCAAGAAATTGATGAAAGAATCAAGATTTGCTAGATGTCGTTCAAGATTCCCAACGCCAGTGATACTTTACAAGGGTAGACATGTATGCAGATCCGCAACATTAGCCAGTAAGCCAGAAATGATGTGTAGAACTGGATTAGATATGCTATCTAATGTAGCTGGTACCAGTTCTACATCACCAGATCCATTGGTAGACAAAAGTTTAACGCAAGTTGCAGAAGTTACAGAAGATTTAAAGTTTACTGACATGAAGAATAATCTTAGATTGTATGATATAGAACTCCTGAAGACTCTTAATGTGGGAACCATCATTGATTTCATGGTTGAGAAGAAAAAGGTCAAATTTGGAGTAAAGTAAGGCTGTCACTAAGTATCTTTTTTTTTTTTTACGTATTTATGTATTTTTCAAAGAGTAAATATTGAAAAGGTAGAGAAAAATAAATACATAGAATTATTTAATTATTAAACTTTGCTCAATAAATTTAAAAAATAAATAATTACACAGTTTGAAAGAAATATAAATTGTAATAAAAGCATATACAAGAGAAAAAGATTATATTAAGATTATTTTATTATAAATAGGTAGATAGACAGATTATTTCATTGGATAAAAATCTAATAAAGATTACATACTTTGTCATAATAATGTTTAGGATGAAATATATATAGTTTTGAGAAGAGAACTGCATACACAATAGACAATAACTATTCCAATAAAGAAGATGTCCATCTTTGCAAATGCAGTAAAGTTCCATAATAATAGTTCTTAGTCTAAGCGGTCTATTTTATTCTATAAATCCACTTTTAGAGACCCTTAAACAGAGCTCTTTTGTTCGGTACTCAGCGTAACTTCATCGGAGAAGGTAGACCAGGAGAAAAGGTACGATGACTTTAACCTCATTTCACTGCCATATCCTGGATGTGAATTCTTCAAGGAATTTAGAAACAAAGATTATCGATCAAGAGGTTTGGTATTTGACTGGTACCAAAATTATGTAGACGCGATAATCCGTATACCTGATGGCCCCTCCGATCAATTACGAATCACCTGGAATAAATACAGAGAATGGGATCTAGTCAGATTAACGCAGAATTATTTAAGATTAATACTAATATATTTGAGCGATAGTAAGAATGGAATATTAATTCACTGCATCTCAGGTACGGATAAAATATATATTTTCTTCCTGTTAAAAAGTTTAAAAAAATTTCTAGTGAAATTAATATATTATTTACAGGCTGGGATCGTACACCATTATTTATTTCATTATTGAGAATTAGTCTCTGGGCCGATGGTGTAATTCATAAAACATTAAATTCATATCAATTACTTTATTACACTATCGCCTATGACTGGCTGCTCTTTGGACACGATTTACGAGATCGACTAAATAAAGGAGAGGAGATATTCTTCTTTTGCTTTGATTTCTTAAAATATATTGAAACTGAAGATTTCAGTATACATTATAAGTGTAACGAGAAAACATCAAAGTCTAGCGACTCGCATCCGGAAACTATCACGATAAACGCCGAATCCTTTGAATTTATCGCCGCTCCTAGTTTCAGTTCATCTAGTTCTATTGAACAAACCAGTGAAGATGGTGATTCAACAGCTGTATTTTTCGATAATTTGGATAGTCAGGATTTGGATTCTCGAAATAATGTGTAATTATTTTAATTATTTATTTTTAAGTATCATTGCTAAATATTGATCTGATAAACATTTATACATATCCATATTTGTTACAGCACTCTTACATCTGGGACACTTAATGTGTCTCCAAATAAAGAGGATGGTACCACACAGGGATCGCGTTTATCTCTATCCACAAATCGTACATCTCCGATTGGAGTTCCTATACCACATAATACTCGACGGATTCGACAACGAAATGATTCAACGTCTTCGGGTGATTCCTGGCAACTGGTGACAGGGACAGGTAGTCTGTGTGGTTCCACATCCGCTAATGCTGCCTGTATGGACAGCATGTTAATTCCTGGTTTAGATTGTAAGCCTTCGTGTGCAGCTTGCACAACTCCACGCACGTTACAAGGAAATGCAAACACAAATGATGACGAAGTTGCTTCTCAGCCTGTACAGTAAGTTTTTAATAATTTTTTAGATTGCATTAAATTTTTTAAATCTACAATTACATTAAAATATTTTAGACGTAAAGAACGATTGCGTTGCCTCCGAAATATATTTTGTAAAGCCTATGGACCTCATGGATTTCGATGGAAGGACGAGGCGAGTGGCATTAGCCAATATTTTGGAAATATTGTTGGGATGACTTAGACTTGACGCACATCCTAGTGACTGAAATACTGTTACTGACTGTCTAAGAACACGAATTTACAGTCTCGATTTTCTTTATTCTAAATGATATCAGAGAACTCCGAGCATTTCGAAGATTTTCACTCTTTCTAATAAGCAAAAATAAAAAAGTATATCATATACACATAGTATATATAGTATATACATTTTTTATTTTACTCACTTTTTACTATAATATTGTCATGTACATATAAGTGCCAGTGCAAAAAAAAACAGCAATTTAATACAAAGAATTTAGAATAGAGAAAATTGACTATATTGTTAATAATACTTATGTCCAATTGACAATTTTATAAACTACAATTTATATAACAAAAATGAGAATTGTATATTATTGTTTCTCAAAAAATGTTATATACAACACGATATGTGCAAATAATAGAATAAAAGTCAATATTTTTGTACATGTCTACATAGAATATATTAATTTTATCTCCTTCCATATAGAATTAGTATTAATTTTTATTAATAGACATCAATATTTGCATAAATTTACAAATTAAACATTTAAATAAATGAATAAAAAATTTAAAATTATATTTTAGGATATTTTAACAAATCTGGAAGGAAAGATAAGATAAAATTACTTTATACAGAATAGATTTATTTCATTTCAAAGATCAAGATGACTTTGTTTTATAATTTTACTTTAAAAATAATTAAAGATATAGTATTAGTTCTTTTTACATTTTTGTATATATATACATATTCAAGAAATATATAATCAACTATCACAGAAAATTATAGATTCATCACATGTACAATTCTTGATGGTGGTACATATTCTCTGCAATATGGACATTGTGGTTTAACACGTAACCACTCACTGAGACAAGTCCAACAAAACAAATGACCACATAATGTTGCAGTTGTTGCTGTCGTTTCGAGGCATAATTGACAACTATGACTAATACATTTTGTATTAGATGTACTTGTGATTGTAGTATCTTGCATCTTGCTACACTGCCAAATTCTTAATAGACATTGAATTAGAGTAGCAATTCCTAACAGTCTTAATCCCCAGCTGACGGTATCCACCGGTCGAGGACCATATACCTTTAAATCACATTGGAGATAAGAACAATAAGATTATATTACAAAAAGATTTTAAGATTTTACCTTTGTATGATCTAATCCAACAATTCTTTGACCCAGGCTGTAATATCTACCGTAAATGTAAAATATTCCTTTATGGAATAACACAATTACAGGTATCATTGTGCGCAGTTTGGACAGGAAGTTATTAAGAAATGTTATTGCTGTTGGTGTCAGCTCACTATGGGGCCTGTTCACGTAAGCTTGACACTGTCCCAATAATTTGAGCACCATTCTCTCTCCGAGGCATTCCAAAATCGCAGCCAACACTCTGACCTTAATAAAAAGAGAAGAAAAATTTGGAATTTAATTAAGATTCTCTCACAGAGAATAAACATAATAAACTTTCTTATTGAAACGTACAGTTAGTGTAGGAACTTTGCGCGCCTCCAGATTAGCCTGTACAATGCCGGTGTATTCCTCGCCCAGGGTTTGATTTCCCATCCCCGACGTGAAGATAAAATACACTAATTTGAGCGGAATATCAGACTGAATATAGTGAAACAACGGTCTGTGTATTCCAAAATTGTGCAGTATCTCGGATAATTTCTGCTTCAAATGATTCACAAAATCGTCGTCTCGTTGATGACAGCGCAATATTTCCGCTTGACTCGCACATTTTAATCTACGGGTAGACCATTTTTTGACAGTTCCCATTTTTTTTATTTAACGCACGTTTGTTGTGGCCGAGTGTGTATATATTAAAAAATCATGCCATGTCACGCGTGGGTCTCCTACGAGAATACAAATAAGTAATCTCTCTCTCTTCTTTCATTCCGTTTCATTCTCGCTCTTTTGTGGTCAATGATGTCAATGTCAGATTTTTCTGCGCATGCGCAGTAGCTCAACAATCATATGACATTAAATAGCAATGTCAATAGGCCTATTATCATTAATATAAAATAGAAAATATGTAAATAAATGATATAAAGATCAAAATATTTTAAAAATCAAATTAGATAAAATATTTTATTTTTGTCGCGCGCGAAGTGTCTAAATAATCAGCCAAAATTATGTATAAATCGCAAAAATATATATTGCATCAATTTTTACAACTGCCAAATCGGAAAAGAAAGTAAAGAATATCGTGGTTTCGCTAGAAAACATTTACAGATTACATAATAATCGAGAAAACGCGGAAGTTATGCGCGCAACGCTTTCTTTCGCGAACCTGTCGAGTTGACAGCTGATTACGCAGTGAAACCCGAACCGGCCAATAGGAACAGCTATAGAGACTCTATGTCATTTTCGCGATTGGTTTCACCGCGTGTCGATAAGAAAATAATAAATATACAGTATATTATACGATGCTTCCGATTCTAATCTAATAAACGCAACCCAATTATTGCATAACGATTCGTCGACGGATCGTTGGATCGCTATTACGTATATTTTATGATGTAAAAGGGACAACGGGTTGTTCATGTAACATGAAGTTGGCTACAAAAATGGTGAATTAGTCGGGCTTTCGCTCAAGTGTCTCTATCACAGCTGTTCCACTGCTCCGTTTGACAGATCGCTGCCGTGTTTGACAGGTCGGTTCGTAAAAAATCGAAAAATCTTATCAGAGTCTTGAAACACGAATAGAGAGTTCCGAGTATCGGATCTTCCCTCAGAATCTTGCGCGGATTATGTATTGTATACATACGTCGTCTTCATCGACACGTTGACGGATGTAATGTCAAATTTAATGTCAAACGATTAATGATTTAATATGCAGCCGCTCGACGATAATCGGATGACATGAGACTTGTGTGCGACGTGATGAGGAACTGGGATATTGTTGAACGCCGGGTGGGATATTCGTCGTTAGTGGAAACGAAAAATGTTCGTCAGGGATCCCTGTGGCATCATATGCATTATCGTCACCTACATAGCGGTGTTTTACGCTGATTACGTTGTGGTGCGATGGATCGTGTTGCATACCATGCAAGACAGGTTCGTACGGCAGCTCTGATCGGCAGAAATTACAAGAATCGACATTTAATTATCTTCAGACAGTTGTGTCATATTTTGCGCAACACATCCTTATAAGATTTGGCCTGTTGAAATGTAAACAAATATAAGATGCTTGAATAATTTGAAACTCTCTCAAGGATTGTATGCAAACTGTAAATATTATGAATTAAAAAAAGATTTAAATGCTAGAAAAAAATGTATAGTAATTTTAATATTTTATAACAAGGATAGAGAATGTATCGCTGTGAAGAGTTAAATATAATATAATACTTATTGTTAGCAAATCGCTAAGACGAGGAATAATCTCTAAATTGAGATTTAAATTTCTCTTCTCCTTACTCCCCTAAAATTGATGTAGACGAGAAAAATATATTGATCAGAAAAAGGAAGATCTAATATTTTATATTCTTCTCTATCAATTGAAAATAGATCAGAATTATTAAAATTTTATGCTTCTTGTAGAGATGTGTGTACTCTTCAAAATATAACATTTATTTTAGACTATAATATTCAGATATTATATTTTTCGTTTTGTTTTAGCTTATGGGGCCCTTTTCATATAATAGCATTCAACACGGTTGTACTTCTTTTAATGATGGCACACTTGAAAGCTGTCTGTAGCGATCCTGGTATAGTACCCTTACCACAAAATAGAATGGACTTTTCCGATATTCATGTTTCTGGAGGTAATGATGATCATGAGGGCGATGAGAAGGATGATTGGACAGTGTGCACTAGATGTGAAACTTATAGGCCACCTAGAGCGCACCATTGTAGAATCTGCAAACGTTGCATCAGGAGAATGGATCATCATTGTCCATGGTAACTATTATAGTTATTAGATAAGATTTATATACATTATTATATTTATAATTATTAAATTAATTTTTATAATTGACTTTTTTAGGATCAATAATTGTGTCGGCGAAAGGAATCAAAAATACTTCATACAATTTCTGGTATACGTCGGTGCATTAGCTATATATGCTATTGTTTTAGTTATTATATCATGGATTTATGACTGCCCACAGTGCAATAATGACATTGCAATCAAGCAAAATCGCATGTACGTATCTGTATTCTTATCTGAAGAAACGCTCTATAAGAATTCTAAAACTAAAAAAAACTTATATATCGATATTTTATTGCAGTTTACATTGTGTGATATTAGTTTTGGAATCTGCATTGTTCGGTATGTTTGTCATAGCGATTCTGGTGGATCAGTTTCAAGCGATTCTAGGCGATGAAACCGCTGTGGAACGCGTACAAGGTATACAACAGCGCTATCACAATAAGAATACACCACGAACATTTACGCTTTTGGCCCAAGTGTGTGGCAAGAGTCATCCGATATTTTGGTTGCTGCCTTGTCACAATCCGCCACGTTATTCCTTCAGAAAGGATGCGTATTTAATTGACCACGAAGTTTGAGACTAAACACGAGAGAGTGTACTATATCTGCACACAGTATTTCTTCTCTTTTGTATTATTTGTCTATACATCAATTTATTAGCAATTCTTTTCTTAGATTAACTTAATATGTCTTTATATGGATTATATATTGACATTATTATATAGATTTGAGACTTGTAGCTATAATTTTTCTACGGCGCAAAAATAAAATATTTATATATCCTACCTCTGTAAAGAAACTCTATCATCATTATTATTATATTCTTATATAATAATATGATTAGTACATATATACATTAAATATACATTAAATATACATTATATCTATATATATTACGTACATTATCTATAATTAGATATGTATTTAAACTGTGAACAAACAATAGCTTTAATTAATATTGCTTATGTTGAAACATACATGATAACAGTATATAATATAAATGAAAATGGAATATTTTTTTTATGTTAATAAATTAATTTTTTATCTTTTAAAGTTGAGATATCTATAAGAGTAAGAGTGATATACTTTAAGTGATATGCAAGAATGTCAATTCTTTAATTGAAAACGATGCTAGAACTTTATCCTCGCCTAATAATTTTTATTTGCTGCAAGGATTGTATTGTGTGGTATTTTAGAAAAAATAAAGTTGTTATTAACTTTAAAAGAAATTTATTATTAATAATTCATATCATGTAATTTTTTATTATATCTAAAATTACGATATTAGATGCTTGATAATTAATTTTGATAGTTTTGTTGACTAATTATATTGTTATATTGCTGGAGAATTATATTTTGTTAATTAAACATAATAAATTAAAGTATTTTTAATGTTAATATATATATATATATTATTGCGACGAAATCTTTTTCACCATTTAATTTCATTTATAAAATTTTGTCTAATTATGTCAAAAATATTAAAAATATTAAAAAATTAATATTTTTTATTAGTTTATTTGTATATTTTTCTGCATTTTTATATAAAAAAATTGTTCAAGTATCTACTTATAAAAATAAAGTTACATTTAATTGACTAATCAGGAGCAAAGATCTCTTTATCCTGATTGGTCAATAAAATTTTAGGCGAGTTTTGGAAAATTTATTTTTCAATATTGGTAGTCCTGAATGTGGAACTTTGCGAGTCAAACTTCAGTTCAAACTTTTGCAATCGTGTTGTTTTAGGTTGGATCAGTGTTTGTTTATTCTTTACTTAAATTTAGCTATAATATATATAGCTGTATTTAATAAACTCGACTGGTGAAATTATCAACTCTGATTTGTGACGCTAATTTCTGATTTCCAACATTGTTCATATATGAATAAATAATATATAACCTGATACCTGATGTTACATCACATACAGCTGTGTTTTGATAATACCGGCTATTCATTTCCTTATTGAAGATAATTCCAAAGAGAAATAAACCAATCTTTCAATTATATATTTATTTTATTTTAACTATTATATATTATCAAGCACTATGAGTAATAGTTTGAGGACTGCGATTTTAAGAAAGGTATAATTTTCTTTTGTAATATAAAAATATTCATTACTATTGAGATAAGTTACGCAAAAGTTAATCTCTTTTGACATATTTAATTATCTTTTAATTGTATTTTTTTCAGATTACAAAATCTTTACAAAATGATAACAATATGAACATATCTGATATCGCATCCTACTTGCATTTTAAGACACAGAAAACAAATGGAGTCTACTCTTTTTTAGTTCCATTAAAAACTAGACAATATAATATGCAAGATAAAGTGCAGAATATCATTAATAATGATCCAAGTAGCATTTTTAATGTCAGTATAGAAAACAATGAGATCTCTTTCAATCTTTCCAGGGAGAAATGCATTAAGGAAATTTTGGAACATAACTGTTCTGCAGTATCGGCTCCAACTTTTGTCAATAATAAGAAAAATGTGATAGTGGAGTTTAGTTCGCCTAATATTGCAAAACCCTTTCATCTGGGACATCTTAGATCCACAATAATAGGAAACTACATTGCTAATATCAATAACTTTGTAGAAAATGATGTCAAGAGAATAAATTACTTGGGTGACTGGGGCACTCAATATGGTCTAGTTCAATTGGGAGTTGAAATAGCAGATCTCAGCGAGGACGAGATGAAAAGTAGTCCTATAAAGGCGTTATACAAGGCATACATTACCGCTAATAAGTTGGCTGAAACCAATCCCTCTATATTGGATCGTGCGAGAGAAATATTCAACAGCTTGGAAACTGGCACAGAAGTCACATGTGAGCAATGGAAAACATTTAAGCAGTACACTATCGAAGAGTTGAAGAGGACGTATGGTAGAATTGGTATCACATTCGACGAGTATCATTGGGAATCTATGTACAATGCCAAGAATATAGAGAAAATAATTACGTTAATGGAGAAAATGCAATTATTAATAATGGATGAGCAAAATAGAAAAGTTGTAAATCTAGACAATGATAAAATCGTTCCTTTAATCAAAAGTGATGGTTCCACTTTGTACATTGCTAGAGATATTGCCGCAGCTATCGACAGATTTGAAAAGAATCATTTTGATTATATGTATTACGTAGTGGATAATACTCAAGCTGAACATTTCTCAAATCTGTTGGAGATATTGAGACGAATGAAAATGCCATGGGTTGATAGATTGAAGTACGTAAATTTCGGTCGATTACATGGTATGCGTACGAGAAAGGGAGACACAATGTTTCTGGAAGATATCTTGAACACCACTAGAGATATCATGAAGCAGAAACAATTAGACTCACGAAGTATGAATCTTAAATTTTTATGTTAAAAGAATTTTATTATAATATTTCATCTAATTATTTTACATATCTTTTCAGCTACCAAAATTCATTTAGATTCCAGAGACAATAGCTCGGATATATTAGGCATTTCCGCGATGATAATTAACGATTTGAAGAGAAGACGACAACGGGATTATACATTCGATTTAAATGCAGCATTTGATGTAAGTTTCTTATCATTGTGTGCAGTGTTGTACTTAGATGATTTAAAAATTAGATACATAAAGATGAGATAAAAACATTTTTTTTTTTAATAAATTCATCTTAGATAAGATGAAGATGAATTTGTTTTAATATATCTAGATAAAACAAAATTATATGGCGATTCATCTAGATAATTTTCTAGATAATAATTTTTAAGACCGCTTACGTAAACACAGTTATAAAAAAATATTAATTATAAAAGAGATATAAAAATATATGTATTCATATTTTTATTTATAAATTTTTATCGCTTGCTGCTTAAGTCCTACTATTTAAATATTTTTATGTACTTTGATTCTAGACTAAAATTATCTGAAAATTATTCTAGATAATTTAGTAAAGATAATACTTTTTTTCATCTAAGATGCAGATATAGATAATATATATTTTTATTTTTTATATAAAGATAAGATGATGTTAAAGTCTCATCTCGATGATTATCTATATAATTTTAATTAAATAACATTCGATGATCTGATTTCTTAATTTCTCTTTGCAAGGTCAGTTGAAAGGGGACACCGGTGTGAAGTTGCAATACACTCATTGCAGACTCGTTAGCTTGAAGCGCAATTGCGGGACTGTCTTGCCTTCGGAATGCGACCCGAGCCTTTTACGAGAAGAAGCTGTCGATGACTTAATCATGTCAATTGCCAAATTCGAAGAGATAGTACTGAAGTCGTACGTAGAAATGGAACCGTGCATTTTAACAGGATACCTTTTTCACCTAATGTAAGCACAAATTCTACACGTCAAACATTTATTGTAATTATCTAATTGTATGATGTACAAAAACCTTTTCTTTTTATACAGCCACGTAATTAACAAGGCTTTCAAAGAGTTGAGAATAAAAAATGAATCGCCTGACGTTGCTGGTCAAAGACTACTGTTGTTTCACGTTGCTAGAAACGTTCTCGCACAAGGTATGAAATTGCTTGGTTTAATACCTCTAGAGGAAATGTAACACAGCGAAGAGATGGTGAGTCAAAACACTGCATAGTTTCTAATATTGTCACTGTAATAATTATATATAAAATATATGGAATAATTTAATTTTTTTTAAATAAATAATGTAATATTTTTTTAGACAAAATAATACTGTTTATATATATATATATATGATTTTATTGTAACATAATGAAAATTATACTATGTTAGAATAAGCAGATTAACGTTTGTTCCAAGTGAATTTTCTTCTGGCACCTTCTTGACCAGGCTTCTTCCTCTCGCGTTTTCGCCAGTCTTTCGTTAAAAGTCCAGCTGTTCGAAAATAAACAATGCTATAATTTTCTATTGTTTAATTCATAATATAATAGTTTCAAGGTAAAATATTAAACAAATATATTAAAATTATATTTGCGCATAATTTCTCATATCAATTGCTTCTTACCAATTCGCATTTTTTCGATCAGCGCTTTATCTACGAAGCTGCGTAAGCCCCATGAAATCCCCCACCGTATAGCGCCACACTGACCAGTAGGTCCTCCATGTTGAACTGTGGCCTCGATGTCTACTTTATCGCTCATGTTTGTGAAAATTAATGGAAATATAATCTGTAACAATCAAACGTAAGGAACGTCAAAGAAAATTCATCTAAACTTGAAAGTATAAATACAATGTCAACAGATCTCTTTGAAAATGTTCTCGATCAGGTTTAATTGTCAGTCACAGGAAGAGATGCCAGGAATAAAATAAAAATAAAAAGATTTAATATCGAATAAGGTTAAAAATGCAGGAACGATTCTATCCGATAAAAGCTCAATTATGCCATTAGCATAATCGATTATAGAGCATCGAGTCATACCGAGATATCGACCCATCTGCTTTACAACGAGGTTGTATATTGTTCCTTTGCCAACGTTGTCACGACAGTCTCCAACATTTTGTTCATTTCTAACAATTGCACTCTCAACAATTTCACAGCATCTTCGTTCACTTTCATCATAGCAATCAGTTTCTCGATCGTCGTTTGTAGGACGGTATCAGGGACCTCCTTGCTCTCTTCTTGCTTCAACCAGGCAGCATCGTTCAGAATAACGTCGTCGTTCGCGAAGGTGACGTTCTTCTGCGCTATCTCATAAGCGGCCTTCATTATATCCTTGGGCAATCGCTTCTCGAGTGGATTTAGCGGTTTCACAACGAGCACGCGTTTCCTATTCTCAACGTCGATCTTGTGATCCGACATCCACTTGCGAAAGGCGTACGGGATCGTGGTGTTGTGCAGGACCATCTCCGTGAAGAGGATCATCTTCGTCTGCCTCACCAGCTTCGTGAGTCCGGCGTGATTCCTCAGACCCTGTATATCGTGCACGGCGATACCGACCAGTAGATTCATCAGAATCACCGTGACGAAGACTATGAACAGAGTGAAGAGGATCTGCGAGCACACCGATAAGGGATGATAAATGACGAAGGAGCCACGTGTTGATCCGTCCGCCTGATTGATGAGCCCCTCAAAGTCCAGCTCGCCGGCCATCATGGCCAGAACCTTGATCAGGCCGGTGAAGGGATTCCCGAAGGCGGGCTCGCCCGCGAATATCACGCAGAAGCTGATGGTGAAGCCGATCAGCAGGCCGGAATACGCCAGCAGCAGCTTGGCGAACTCGAACTGGATGTGCGTGAACATGGCGACGTAGGTGCCAAAGGCCGGTAGCTGGCCCACCATCAGCATCAGGTTGGTCCAGGCGCAGAGGATGGCGAACGCGCCGACGTAATTCTGCCAATCGTAGGTACGCCCGGTGTAAATGAAGGACGTGACGAAGACGCTTACGATCACCACGCCGTCCAGGACGTTGTCGATGTTGGAGAAGTATTGCAACGCCGACCTATAGACCATGAAGCCGAAGATCTTCCTCGGTATGGTGATACACGTCAGCACTAGGGCGAGGTACCATTGAATCTCAATAAACGGTCTGCGAAAGAGGAAATCGGCCGTTCGTTTACTGCCGCATATCTTGGAGCTGTTGCTGGCGACCTCCTCGTTATAATTGTAACACTTGTACGCCAAAGCCGTGAGCACGTAAGTGGTCATGCTTATCACCGTCATGGTGTACAGAAGGATCCTCAGGAGATAGAGCTTGCGTATCTTCTCCCATTTCAGGTGTAGAAAAGCCATGACCAGCGGATGCGACAGAAGGTCCTTCCGGTGCTCCTGCACGAAGGTATTTATGAAGCTGGTCTCGCACTGACTGTTGCTGGGGAAGAGAATGTCAAAGTGCAGCCTCATCTCGAACTCGCGATTGTGCGACACCGGCCGGGTCAGTCTGATCGAGGCGTCCAGTCGCTGCCGGAAGACGCGCAACGACTCGGGGATCTTCTTCAGCACCACATTCAGCGCCGACAGTCCCGTGCACGTGGTCACGCTGACGTCCGCGCCCGCCCAGATGAGCGCCTCGACGCATCGCGACTGCTCGTTCAACGCGGCGATGTGAAGAGGCGTGAAGCCGCTCCGGTCAGCCGCGTTTACGTGGGCGCCACGTTTTAGTAGCAATTGCACCAGCTCGGCGGACGAGTCGGTGCTCATCACGGCGAAGTGCAGCGGGGTCCTTAACTCCCTGTCCACGGCGTTGACGCCGCTGATCGACAGCAGCTCGACGCAAGGTGTCGACTGCACGAAGCAAGCCACGTGCAACGGCGTCTGACCCAAGTGGTTCTTCTCGACGACGCTGGCGCCGCGCTCCAGGAGCAACCGCACCATCTCCACCGCGTTCGCGCGCACCGCGCTGTGCAGAACCGGCTCGACCACCTCCTGACAGACGTAATTGAGCTTGGCGCCGTTCTCCAGCAGCGTGGCCGCGACCTGCCAGCTGTTGCCCAGGGCCGCGAAGTGCAGCGGCGTGTAACGAGTGACGAGACTCTCGTAGTTGACGTCGGCGCCGTGTCCTATCAGGTACTCCACGCAGTCGACTCGGTTGCCCAGCGACGCGGCCAGGATGGCGTTCACGCCGGTACGCGGCTCCACGTAGTCGTAGCGCGCGCCGGCCTTCTCCAGCTCCGGAAGAAGGTGTAACAGGCCGCGATAGGACGCCCAGATGTAAGCGACATTCCGTAATCTCTCGCTCTTGCACGCGTTCGGCAGCGCGCGGCTCTTCTCCATGTCGAGAAGCAGCCTCGTCTCCGCCGGGTCGACGATGGACCATATTGCCGATCTCAGTTTTGTTCCGTTCACGTAATGATTCCTGCAACATTCCAGGTTGTCGAAGAAGAGAGACTCGTCCACCGGCGGCGGCAGCCCGGCATCGATCTCGCTGTCTTTGGATGCTGCGATCACGTCATCGATGATGGTGATTTTCCGCTGTGGACAATCATTATTCTTCGCCGCGTAGGCGTCTCTTAAGGATCTATAAGTGGAGGCTAGCCTCACGAAGAGCGAATCATCCTTGGAACGACCATTGAAGCTGGAGTAGAGACGTTGCTTGTCCTGGTCGAGAATAATCGACGACAAAGTGTCCGGTTTCATATTTCTTACTTCTTCCTGCTCATTCTTGTGCATTCTGGAACGAATCGAGATTTATTTATCAATTAATCAGAACGAGGATTTTGCTTTTTCTCTATGTCTTCGAGTCAAGCTCGAGGATATGCATCTTCTTTTTTTGTCAATCCGATATTGTTCGAATCATTCGCGATCTGGTGACTTGCTATTTGTATAATTTTTATGTCAATTATTTCCACATTCTTGCGCACAAGAACTCGTGCTCGAGATCTTATCTCGTCCGGATTTGTGATTATAATATAATCCTGCGATTTATTGCTCCACGTGTCCCTCTCAGAGTTATTTCAGCTACTCCGAATATGTTATTGTTCACAATGTTTAGTTTTCGACGTAAGCATCCGCGGTTGAATACCACTATATAGTTATCGATGATTCGCTGCTAACGACATTTCAATTATTTATTCATCCGAGCTGCACCGATTTAATAACTTAATAATTTGTATTTATTCAAACAACTTAATGACACCTTGCGGCTAAATTTATATTTTCTTAGGTTCTTATTGCTGCCGATATATTTTATAATCTCGCAAGAATATGTCTTTTCATTAACGAAATAATTTATCGCATTCGCACACACATTTAATCTTCTCTCTTGAATTGCATCAGTAATATATGGTTCCTAGTTTATCACTGAAGATCCAACCGAATTATCGATGCTAATTTTCTATATACATATAAATATGCATTAAAATATATATTTACTGCGTCTTAATAAGACTTTAAATGATAAAAAGAGTTCAATAGTATTTTTCACCAACATGACGTTTCTTCTTCTCTTGACTTCGCACAAATATCATCATATGATCTTTTTGCCTTAGGAGTCCCGTATTTATAAGAGTCCAAGAGCTGGCCGAGAAGAACCCATTTGAAATGCGAAGACAGACGTCGAGAAGGATTTCCTAACGTGAACAAGGAGGCACATTTCCTAACGCGAAGGAGATCACGTCAGCTGACGATGTCTGTCATTGCTGAGCCGATCCTTATCGACGATTTCGCGAGTATTACGGACTTGACTGGTTTGTACAATCGCATTACACGTACTGCACGGCGTACCTACTCTGCATACATCTCTTACTTGGTCAGCCGATTGCGCGGGAGAAGAAGAAGAAGAGTTCACGAGCAGGGAGGTAGAAGCGTGACTTGTGGAATGGACTAAATATATGAATACGAAGAGATGTAGGTTGATATCGAGATCTATTTTTCTTTCGATGTGCGATAAACCGTCGTCCTGTTGAATTAATCCAGATTAATCTGGACGATGTTGGAAGAGATACTCGCTCAGCTTTCATTCTAGGACACATGCGATTTCTTATCATTTATATTTGTTATCGTTGAGAAAGTATTGTTTAGATGCAGATATTTGTTCTTACTCATGGTGGAACGATAAAACCGTGTTTCTCTTGTTGAAAATCAATGGAGGACGAAGGCTAAATGCATAAGAGATAAGAAAATGCGTGGAAAATATTTATACTGCGTAAATTGAATCCCCTATAATCTTTATAGCAAACTTTAATAATTTTAGATAGCGAGTTCATTTGTTAATATTTCAAAAAATCGCCTGTAAATCAAATTGTTTATTCCTGCTTAATCTATTATTCATCATCTACTTTTTTGTTCGATTTTTTTATATCGTAGAAAACATTTTGCGCTCTTTCTCTCATAGTCGATTTTTTTGCAACTTCTCGAATCCGAACTACGTGTATCTCTAGTCGAACAACTTTCACATATGATACCACGACTCATTTGCGTAATTTTTTAATTTTGTATTCGTTTTCAGTATATTTGCAAAATCTCTGCCAAGATACTCCGATATTCTCGAGTTGCCGAAAAATTTGAAATGGATGCACGAAGTCGCTAGACATGAAATATGTATAGATAGTACTTGTTTTAATAAAAAAAATAACGTCACGGTGATTTTATTTAGAAGCCGACAAGAGAGAAGAATCCTTCGGGGTCTCACGACGTAATGGAACGTGTGATAAATTTTTTATTAAACTTTTTCTCCCCCCAACTAAAGATCAATTCGCAGAATTATGATCTATATCAATAAATCATCTGCGTGACGATGTGTAAATCCGATAGATGTACACCTAGGAAATAGAGCTTGTTCAAAGTACAAAGTTCAACATATCTTAAACATTAGTTCTACTAAATTCTTCTTTTCAAGAGCTGAATCTATAATTCAATGTCCTCGTTGTCAGATCTCCTATTTTGAAAGTTGAAATCATATGAGAAAATGTATGCACAATGGAACCGGTTTTTGAGTGAATGCCTACGCATACCTTTAACGTTGTATGTATATATGAATGTATATATATTCTTTGAATCTGATATTGAAAATATTAAAATAAAATAAAATTTAATTAGTGCGAGATTTAAATTTCCTGTTAAATTCAATTTGTAATAAATTTTACTCGTGTATTTAACAATAATTCTTGATGGAAAATATGCAACAAGTCCATGTATATAAACTATTTATTTATAATTAAAATTTAATGTAGTTTTTACAAAAACTTTTTTTCATTAAAGAATGTATAACAATTGTACATAATAATGATAAAGAAAATAAGTAAAAAGGAAGAGAATTAATATTGAAATATGTTATACCAACGCGAAAATTAAATTAACCAATCTTAAAATTATACGCTGAACCGGTTAATTAATTATAATTTCGAAAATAAGGAAATTTTTTTGACGAACCGCACATCTTATAAAACCTGCACAACTGTGGAAGAATGTTTAGAATAACATAGATCGTCCCGTTTTCTCTAAGGTCTCATCAATATACGCACATTAGTATTCGCGTCACAAAATACATGTTATATACTTTGGAGATTAGGCATAGTACATGCATACTAAATATTTGAAGATACATGTATTTTAGATTGGAATAATCCTTTTTCTCTCGTAAGAGAATCTTATAATCCTTACGTAAAAGATAGAATAATTTATTTGCATTTATGCAAATTATATATCTTCTTTTCAATAAAAGATTCATATATAAAATGGACGGAATTAATACAACTGATATTTGACGTGCGATCATATCTGTATCATATTTACAAACAAGTATGCTTTTTGAAAAATGTATAAAAATAGAAGCAACTCTGCACTAAAAAAATTGTTAACTTGACTGAACCTTTCAGCTAAATATTATTTCGTTAATTAAACATATAAAAATATTTAAATTAAATGTAACATATTAAATCTAACAAAACGTATATTTGACTTAAATACTAATATATGTTCAATAAACAAAATAGTAATTTAGTTGAAAGGTTTAATCAAGTCAACAAATTTTTTTCAGTGTATGTGCGATATTTTAATTACTTATCCATCCTTGAATCTCAAATAGTCGACTTGGAGCGGATCCAAGTAGCAAACTGACGTCACTTTGACGTCAAAATGACGTACGTTCGCTACCTAGGGAATATTCTAATATTTCGACGAATATAGAGTCCTCTAGCGTTATTTATTTGTATCCTGCGCTTTCACAAGCTGTTGCAGGAGAGCATTATTCTTCTCGCAAAGTTCTCTGAGCTGTGCGATATCATCCTGGAATTTATTGCAATCCTGTATCAGCGTGTCCTGGTTATGACGACTCGCGTCACTCTCGAAGGCCGCCTTCACGTAGTAACTCTTCTTGCGGGCCGCGGAGAAACAGTTCTGCCCGTCTCCCTCCTTGGCGATCCTGTAACAGGCCAGGAGAACGTCGCGCGGCAGCCTCTTCTCCCTGGGATTCAGCGGACGAACGGTCAGGACGACGCGCAAGGGCGACGGCAGAGCAACGTGCACCGCAGGAGCTTGACGAAACGCTTCGACGGCGTAAATCCGAGCGAGATCGCCATCTCCACGTCGTAGATGAGTTTCGTCTGACGAACGAGTTTCGCGAGCCCGGCCGTCTTCTGCAGGCCCTTGATGTCGTGCACGGCTATGCCGATCAGCAGATTCATCATCACGATCGTCACAAACAGGAGGAACAACAGGAAAATGAACTGGACCACGGTCTGCGAGGGGATGTCCTTCCAGGAGGGCAACATATTATTTTTGAATTGGTCGTAGTGTTTCTCGGACGCGAAGAAGAACTCCTCGAAGTTCAGCTCGCCGGTCATCATCACAAGGACCTTGGTCAGACCGAAGTACGGGCTGCTGAACGAGTTGGTACGCGGAAACAGCACGCAGAAGCAAGCAGCGAAGCCTATCAGCATACAGGCGTACGCCAGAAGTAGCTTGAACACCTCCTCCAGCACGCTGGTGAACATGGCGACGTACGCGCCAAATACAGGTAGCTGACCGATCATCAGCATCAGATTGCACCAACCACAGAGCACGGCTAAGGCGGCCAGATAATGCTGCCACGGTTCTATTTCCTCTGCATACAGAAACGAGGTGGCGAACACACTGAATATCACGAAGCACTCAATCAGATTTTCGATCTGCAGGAACTGTTTGAAGGATCGGTAACTAGGAATGACACTCATTTTACGAAAGGCCTCCACTACGCTGAATATCGCCAGTATGATCCACGTACTCAGAAGGAGCTTCGCCGATCTAAAATAAAAGTAGAAGGTATCCTCTCCGCATGTTTTTTATTTTCATTATTTTCTAGTTCTATTTGGATTTTGTCCTTTGTAGATTCTTCCGCATTGGTTACGCACATTTTATTCTCAATCTCGGTGTTGTTTTCATTGTCTCGTTGTAACAACGGTCCACCAAATTATTACCTTTTTGCGATTCTCAATCTCAATTTTGGTTCTTATAGCCTCGTTGTAACAATGTGCGCCAGAGTGGTTACTTTGTAGCGCATTTTGTTCTCAATTTCGGTTTTGTTTTTCATAGCCTCCTTTAAACAATCCTGTGCCGGAATGGTTATATCTCTGTGCATTTCATTATCAATCTCGGTTTCGTTCTTCATAATCTCGTTGTAACAATAGTGCGCCAGATTGGTTACCTTTATGCACCTTTCATTCATAATTTCGGTCGTGTTTTCCATACCCTTGTTGTAACAATTTTGCACCAGAGTGGTTATTTTTCTGCACATTTTATTCTCAATCTCGGTTTCGTTTATCATATCTTATAACAATTGTGCACCAGAGTGATTATATTTCTGCGCATTTCATTCTCAATCTCGATTTTGTTTGTCGCATCCTCGTAACAATCGCGCGCCAGAGTGGTTATATCTCTGCGCATTTCATCGTCCATCTTAGCCTCGTTGTAACAATTGTGCGCCAGAGCGGTTATCGCCCAGCCCGTAAATATCATCATGTACACCAGATAGAAGAGCAATCGGACCATGTAATACTTTCGGATCTTGTGCCATTTGAGATGGAGGAAGGATTGGCACAACGGGTGCTCCAGAATTTCCTTGTAGCCCTCCTTCACGAAGGTGTTGAGGTAATCGATCTCGGGCAGGCGAGTCTGTCGGTTTCGTCGGTCCTGCAACAGCGGATGAAAGTCCAGTTGCAGCTCGATCTCGCCCGCGAAGCCCTGCCGGTTCAAGGTAAGAGACGAGTCCAGCCTACGCTCGAACACGTCCAGGGAAGTCGGGGTCTTCCGCAGAACGATGGACAGGGCGCTGTTGCCGCCGATGGTCCTCGCACTGAGATCCGCCTCGTGCTTGATCAGTATGTTGACGCATCGCGACAGCTCGTTGGATGCGGCGATGTGCAGCGGCGTGTAACCGTATCTGTCGGCCTTGTTCACGTGCGCCCGCCACTTGAGCAAGAGCTCGGTGATCTCGTCGGTCATCAGGGATTTGCCCAGGGCCAGGTGCAGCGGCGTCCGGCCCTCGTCGTCCTCCGCGTTCGGATCCGCGTGGCCCCTTAACAGTATCTCCACGCATTCCAGGGAATGCGAGCGAGCGGCCAGGTGCAGAGCGGTGTATCCCCGATGATTCTTCAGCTGAAGATCGGCCTTCGCCTCGATCAGCAGGGCTAGATTCTCCGTGCAGCCGGCTTCCGCGGCCAGGTGCAGAGCAGTGTTCTTCTTAGCGGTGAACAGATCCACCTGGCAGCCGGCCTTGAGGAGCACGTCTAGACAACTCGAGTCGCCGCGATCGGCCGCGTGATGGATGGCGGCGTATCCGTCCTGATCCAGGTGATTCAGCTCCTTGCTGTTCGGAGTCAGCAGAGACAAGACGCGTCGAGCGTTGGTGCGCGCCGCCGCGTGCAGCACCGTCTCCTCGGTCTCGTTCGACATCTCCGGACTGATGCCATGTTGCACGAAGTACTGGGCGACCTCGAACGCGTCCCCGAAGGCGGCGTAATGAAACGGCGTGTGCTTCGCGCTGGTGTCGATCTTCGCGCCTCCCTGTTCCATCAGGTACTTGACCCCGTCCAGGCAGTTTCGAAATGCGCACAGGTGCAACGGGGTGAGACCGTGCTCGGGCTCGATGTAGTTGACGTTGGCGCCGTTCTGGCAGAGATGACGAATGATGTCGGGCCGCCCCATGAAACTCGCCTGCATCAGCAGCACGTTGATGTCGCTCGAGTTCGCGGCCGGCAGGACCGTCTCGGCCAGGGTCTCGTTCGTCGCGCTTATCTCCAGGTTCTCCCAGAGCTGCGACTTGCAGGACGCGCGCTTTCTGTGCTCCGTCAGGACGTTGCCGAGGAAGTCCTCGTTGATGCGCAGGCAAGTGCGGTTGATCTCCTCGGCGCAGGCGCGTTCGCTGATGACGAAGAAGTCTTCCATGTGAGCCGTGGAAGTGATCGGGCTGTCGAAGGACAAAGGGACGCGCTCCTGGTGATACTGAGGCTGACCGATCTTGAGCTCGCAGTTGTCTTGCTTCGACTGGGTGCGTCTGTGCTTCAACCGAGCCAGGAACAAGGAAGCTGCGCTGGTGTGCTTCAATAAGACCGGGACGCTCTTCGACGACGTGCACTCTTCGTTGTTCTCCTCCATCTCTTTCGCTGAGAAGGATACGAGTTTGCCGCTGAAATTATCCGCCATCCTTGCCTGTCGCCGTTTTACATTCAATTACCTAGAAACGTGATACAGCTTTCTTAACGAAGCCAGATTGTTTGGCGAAAAGTAGTCTCGAATTAAGGATTAGAGCCAATTTTTTAATATTTGATTTTTTAGAGATTTTTATTAATTTTTATTGTTTTTTATATCTTCTGAAAGAAATATTATAGACATATTATAGAAATATTATAGAAATATTACCCTCTTTTTGAGTTCTTTGAAATTGTTCAGTGTTTTGCATATATCATATTATAAAAACTTATATTTATTTTTGATTGCATAAATGAATATAACGCTGCGAAATTAATTATTTCGTATCAGATCCGCAAACTTTCTGTATTTTTTTTCTTTTATAATGTATATGCATGAGTCGGTATATTAATATCATTATTGTATCAACATATTATTGATATCAGTTTAATTAATCTTTTAGAAGATATAATCTTACCAGAAAGAATGAAAAAAATTATATTGTTTCTCTTAATTATTATTTAACAAATTTTGTAACAATTACATTTTTTCGCATCTTTTGGAAAACACTATTTGACTTTTTTCTCCGAATCTTCATAAAATTCAACCCCTGCCTTCCCTTCCATGGTCTCATGTATATATAATTATTGAAAAATTGTATGTAAATTGAAATTTTTTAATGTCGTATCGGAAAGCATGTAGAGAATATTTTTAAATAATTTTGCAAATTTAATCGCGATGTATTTATAAAACGAGAAATATAAAAGACGTTTAAAATGTAATGTCGAAATTTTATGAAGATTCGGAGAAAAAAGTCAAATAGTGTTTTCCAAAAGATGCGAAAAAATGTAATTGTTACAAATTTATTAAATAATAATTAAGAGAAACAATATATTTTTTTTCATTCTTTCTGGTAAGATTATACCTTCTAAAAGATTAATTAAACTGATATCAATAATATGTTGATACAATAATGATATTAATATATCGATTCATGCATATACATTATAAAAGAAAAAAAATACAGAAAGTTTGAGGATCTGATACAAAATAATTAATTAAATAATTAATTTCGCAGCGTTATATTCATTTATGCAATCAAAAATAAATTATAAGTTTTTATAATATGATATATGCAAAACACTGAACAATTTCAAAGAACTCAAAAAGAGAGCTATAATATTTCTTTCAGAAGATATAAAAAACAAAAATTAATAAAAATCTCTAAAAAATCAAATATTAAAAAATTAAATAGAAATAAAAAAATAAATTTCCACATAAGACTACATTAAAAATTTTTAATATACGCGAAAGTAGGTGGAAATTACACGGAGGTAAACATTAAAATGTCCTTGGTGTATCAGTCTTTTGTGAGTTGAGTAAACTGTAAACGGTAAACTGTCTCCCTCGATAATGATATATCTCGGCTCGGTTATCGCGAATAAATCCTGAATAATCGGCTTAGATGATACGGATAATTCCAGAAAGAGTTTACCTTGCACAACTTGACGCTAGGAATCGATGGTCGTCTCGATCGCACCTCGTTCTATCGCCAGACCGATTAATACTGAGAGCGAGAGAGCAAATAAAGATAGACTTCTGGCTCCATCGTATACCGGTTATACTGGCTTAGGTGTTATACGAATTCGATAAAACCGACCGGCTATCGCAGATACGCAGGGGAAGGTCATCTTCCTCCCGAAGGACGCCGCATGTTTTTTGCGCTTCGCATTTTTAGCTATACGCATCATAGAGGAAGAGTAATAAGAACATAGATTTTCTTCCGAGATTATCTGCTGCCGATGTTCCTCTTCAAATCCATGATGATCCGGTCCAAGAGATAGAAATAACGGATTCTTTCTCTCTTATCTGGATTAATGAAATTCGTCGTAACTTTTAGCACTCTGCGTCGTATTAGTTTTTGCTCTTGAGAGTCTCTTGAAGTTCGATGTAAACGCATCGTTGAAAAGAAATGCACAAATATTTAGATATATTATTCATTGAGTAGCGAACAGAAGAGTAAAAGTTTTCCTGTTCTGATTAAAATTTAAACCCTTCGCAAAAATACAAAACGCGATACATTTAGGATCTAAAAAGAGAGTGGATTTTGAAGACTTTGAAAGTCAAGATAAATGTGTCATTGAAAGTGAAAGTTGAAATATGATTCAATTTTTAAATTAAATAAGAGCCAAAAGAAATCGAAAAGTTTTATAAACAGGAAAAATTCGATCTTTTTCATGAAACAAACTATTAAAAAGTGTTTGAACCAAATTTTTCGAGCTTAATAAACTTGATTCGAGATCTTTTTGTGCGATTTCTCTGATTTGAATGCTTAAAGTAGCATTTATAATATACTTTTTTTACATAATTCTACTTTGAGGTGCTAATTTGATAATTAACATAATTATTTCATCATTATATGGCATAATAGACGTAACTTATTTTTTTATTTATTTATGAAAATTTTAGTTCTATTTACTTCGAGATTATTTGAATATGAATTTTGACTGAAATCGATTTTTTAATTCAGTTTTTTTACTTTTGATTACGACAATTCCATTCTACACTTTCAAGATAAATATACTATAAAATGTAAAAAGTAGTCATAATCGTTTTATTATTAAAATAATTAAAAAGATAAATATTGAGATATCTTAGTAAAAGTTTGAGATCGATATTATATTAAGATTCTTCAACATTTAATCAAGAAGCAAATTTAAGTAAAAGATCTAATTTTTTATCTATTTTGCAGATGTTATATTATTTATAGTTATCGTATAAAAAATGGAATACATATATATAATCATAGAATAGAATAAAAAGTGAATTGAAAAAAGTCTTTTTACAACAAATATACATGTATATATATAATGAATAAGAATAGTTTAGATATTTTGATCTTTCTTTTCAAAGTATTATTATATATAGATTTATTCGAGAACTTTATTTTGGTTGCTTAATTTTCCATCACATAAATCAAAATATGATAGAATATATGTCATTTTTTTATTTCAACAAGTGGCGAAAACATAAAATATTTTTTAATATATATTTTGACCAGGAAAAAGATATTTAAAATAAAAGTTATTCGAAATTCAACAAGATTTAGTTCTAAATAATAATAAGATCTTAATTCAAAATTTTAATTAAATATATATACATATACATATATATATATACATATATATATATACATATACATATATATATATACATATACATATATATATATATATATATATATATATATACACTAATTTGTATATCTAATTATGTAGATTTAATAATATTTAAAATTTATGTTGGAAAAATCTAAAAACTTTATGTAATGTCATAAATCTAATCTATCTTTTTCGACAAACATACATTAAAATGTATTAAGAAATCATTAAAAAGAGCTAAATATCGAGATTAACTTACTTGTTCGCGATGCTGTATATCTTTAAAGTATGTGATGTCCTGTCCGTTAATAGTGATATTGCCAGAACCATTTCCCCAGACTGTCACTACACCTCTTGCAGACTTTCTTATGCAATCTAAAATCATAATAAATTTGATTTATATATATATATATATATATAAAATATTTCTTAGTCATTTGTTAATGTTAAGATTATTTACTTACTTTTGACTGTAATATAGGGCCTTCCTGTGCTGTCATGTTCCAACTGTACATATAAAAATATATATAAAAATAAGCTCCTGCATTCATCCTAATTATATTTTCCTTGTCATTATTACATATAACTTACAGGTGGTATGGTTATCTCATTGGAATGGCTAATGAGTATTTTACGATACTTCATAATGAAATCTGTTTCACGCTTTGATAGTGGGTGCTCACATAATCGCTCTAGTGATGTTATAAAATAGTTGTACTGAAAAAATTATTACATTTATGAGTTAAATCATGCGTTTCTTGTGCTTTCTTTCTTTTTATAAAAGATTGCATAGACTTCAGTATTATTATTACTATTATTCACCTCCATGTCTTGAAGAGTTTCAAGTAGCTTGTCTTCCATATCCTTCTTCGATAACCATGTAAAACCTATTAGATCACTAAAACATGATAAAAACAATCTTGAAAAATAATTGTATATGCTTGTATAGGATAAAATTTATAAATTTTTAAAATTACATATTGTGATACAATTCATTCAATATCATTGATACTCAACATACATTTTATCCATAGGTAATGTTCCTTGCCGTATTAATGAATCTTCAATATCGTTTAAAGATTTGATTTTCTCCACAATTTCCTGTATGCAAAAATAATTTTCTCAACTGTTAATTGCTCTCTAGTATTTTCATAAAAGTTACTACAGAAACTTACGTATAGTATTTGATAGTAATTTGGTCTAGAAGTATAAAACATAGAATGAAAAGGTCTTCCAGTTTCATCAAACTCTGCTGCTTTCCGGCTTGGAAAAATCTCTTCTGGATGTCGCATTATTGGTCGAGCTTTGCGATCATACAGTCCCGATGGAAACAAATACTCAATTGATTTCTGAAAGTAATGATATGCGACTCTGAATACCAGCTTAGATATTTTCCATAAATTCAAAACAGCCTTTCTCATACAGTTACATACATCTATATCTGCTTGTGTAAAGAAGTCTGGATCTTCACCCATCATATTAGCCAAATGTCTTTTTCCTATTTCGTATTCCACAATCTCTTTCTTCATAAATTCATCTAAAAAATATAAATAAAAGATTTTATATAAAATATATAGATTATTAGTTATATAAAATACTGATTAATAGATAAAAGAAAAGTTCTTACTATGATCTTTCGCACGTTGCAAGTACATAATCATAGCTTTGCTCATCTTCTTAGCTGGTTTTGTCACCTCATCGTCAAACTTCAACATTTCATCGAGTTGATCAGTGGTAGGAGTTGTATATGATCTTGATATAACACGTTGTACATGATTCTGCAATTAAAAAATAATTAATACACACAATCCCGCGAAATAATTTACATAAATGTGATTAAAATATAAAATAGCTTTAAGCCTACAAAAACCTCATTGTTCATCTTCACTTTGAACTTACTGAATATTGTGCAGCATCCGAAAACAAAACAGCTGCATTGTTACTTATAGCAATTCCCAAACGTCGAAAATGTAAATAACGTGTAAAGATAGACATAATTGTTTGGAAACAGATACAAACTATTCTTCAATTAATATAAAATTCGGAATTGGCAACTTAACCGTGAATTCAATTCAACCCACGTTTATGGTTGTGTTCGGAAATCTGCCCATCGACGAGTTGTCAAAACAAAAATTATTTCTTTATCCTGGGGTGCGTTCGTAAACCTTACCCGCTGAGGTATAGGTTTAAGGTGCCTACTGATGGACGCGGCAAGTTGCCGCGCGCGGCAGTTCAGAAAGAACTAGATCTAGGGGCTTCTGAATCACTCCTGCGTTGCCGCAAGTGAAGTTGGAATAATCCAACTTCACTTGCGGCAACGCGGGAGTGGTTATTTGTGCACATTTCAAAATAAAATTGAAACGATGGCAGGAGTAAATGTGGAGATTCCAAAGGTTAGTGTATGTTATTATATCCAAATATAATATAAGTTTAATATAAAAAAATATTAAGAAAGCAATCGCGAAGGTAATATATATGATTGTGCATAATTCAAGATTGGAGGTTAAGTGTATGTTTTGGTCGTTTCGGAAGAGAAAAACGTACCGTAACATGTGCGTACGAATCTATTTCAATTCTTATAAACATTTATGACTTGGAACCGAACTTTAGAATGACACATCGGGTGATATAATTGATTTTTTTTTTATGGCAGAAAGTATACACATGCGGATTATGCGAAATAATTCTTGGGGACCTTGAGGATGAAGAAACATGGTCCCATGAATGTTTTGCAAATTATTCAGAGATTGTTTTTGATGTGAATAGCTTGTATTTATATCCCAAATGTGGTAAGTAAAATATAAAAGGTGAAAGTGACCGATATAATACTATTTGAGCGAATGTAAAAATTTAAATATCTTGTAGAAGATGGAAGCATTGTGCGCCGAAGTGCGATTAATGGAGCAGAGCAGATTGTAATAGAATCGCCTCTTCCGACACAAGAGCCGTGCCCAGTGGAAAACCTGGAAGAACTTATCATTACAGAAGTGTCGGCACGAGAACTGTTATGGAATCAAAAACTGAGTATAACAAAACGTGACAGGCAAACTGTACAACAACTTTGGAAGCAAGTGGCTAATGCGACGAATGGTACGTATATATATTTGTGTGTGTATGAGAGAGAGAGAGAGAGAGAGAGAGAGAGAAAGAGAGTAGTTAAAGAAAACTCAATAGAATTAAAGTGATATAACAGTACGATTTTATTATTACAGGCGAATGTTCTGTCGATGAGGTAAAAAAAAAATGGAAGAACTTAAGGGATCGTTACATGAAAATAATCTCTCTTGAAAAGTTGCCAAGTGGATCAGGAAGTAAACCATCTCGCAGAAAGTGGCAACATTACGAATTGTTGTCTTTCTTACGTGACACTTCTTTGGAAAAAGAGTTAGTATTTCACAAAAGCATTCACTGCAATACTAAAAACAGTTAATATTGATATTATTTCATTTTATTGTATTTCAGGACAGTTTCAAATATGATGAGTCGTGAGGAAGACACTAGCAATGATGACACGGAAATCCAAAGTGTGGACGTCGTAGAAGTCAACGGTGCGATTGATGCATCAAAAAGTATTTCGTTCATAAGCTGTACGGGCAAGTAAATAAATTTAAAAACAGAAAGAGAATAATAAGAAGAATATGCAATAATAAAATAAAACTTTTGCAGAGTCTACAATGTAGTCGTTATGACAATACGACGCTGCAACGGACCAATCAGAGAAAAAAAATCATATATTCTCTTCTTTGATTGATCCGTCACAGCGTCGTAACATTGTAACGACTGCATCGTAGACCCCGCATTATATTCAAAATTCCACATTAATTATCAACCGACACACATATATATATATTGTAGGAAAATTGTACAAATTGAATATCTCACTTGTTAGTACTATTACAGCTAGCTACATCAATTTTGTCCAATAATACAAAATGTATTATTATGTAAAAGTCATTCTTTCATTTTCAGGAATGAAAAGAAAACGAAAAAGTACTGAGCGCGAAGAAGACTTGATGAAGCAGATAGCAGAGGCCTTGCAGACTCCACGACCACCTTTGCCAACTCCTCCTGTTCTTGACGAAGTTGACAATTTTACTTCGATGATTGCCTGCCAGCTACGAGAGTTGTCATCAGTCCGCAGACGCGCAATAATGTTGAAAATTCACGAGCTCTTACGTGCTGAATTATTGCGTAACGACAATTCGGCAACAACAATAATATAACGTAAAATATAATAATATGAATAATATATGTATACGTATAGTAATAAAACGAGACTGATTTTGTTAGTGCAATAAAGCCGAAGCGTATTTATTCAAATAGTTATTACTCAACTGGACCGGGATACCAAGAAACATTAAAGTTATGATTATCTGGGAAAGTAGGAAAAAGAAGTTTTAAAGAATTAGTTTGCATGATTAAAAGGTGTGATTTATTTCCTTTGCATGTGTAGTATACAAATAATGATTATATCTGTGATGTCTAGTATAATATTATAAATAAAACGAAATAATATGCTAATGTATCATTTATCATTTTGCCATGCTACTGAGCCTTCATTATTAAAATATTTACAAAATTCATCTCTAATGAGCATGGCACCCCGAGTACTTGTATTTGTACTACATTTGGAGATGTCCACAAATGCACAACCATCTTCCATAATCGTCCTCCACGAACCTCGTATGTGATCACCCACAGCCGTTTCTTTATCCAACATACCTGGTGGAATATAATTGTTCTTCTCGATATCACTCTTGCGGAGCCAGTTATGAATGCAGATTGTACCTTGTACGATCTTCATAGCAGTTTCCACACTACTAATGATCGGTTTTCGATAAACTCGCCATTGGCTAGCAAGTATTCCGAAACAATTCTCTATCACTCGTCTGGCTCTACTGAGTCTATAATTGAAGATGTGCTGTTCGGCGGACAAGTTATTTTTGCCAGAGTATGGCCTTAGCAAATATGATTTCAATGGAAAGGCTTCATCCCCGACAATGCAGTAAGGCAAAGACGGGCCTCCTTTGTAAAAACTGTCCGATTTTGGGATATTCATTTGACCTGCATTAAGTTGTTGACCGAATCGGCTTTCACGAAAAATGCCTCCATCACTTCGCCTGCCATACGCACCAATATCGACGAACCGGAAAATATAATTGGCATCACAAATAGCTAATAGCACAATGCTATGACTGTTTTTATAGTTGTAGAAATTGGAGCCAGCATTATCCGGACACTGAAATTACACAAAGATTATTATATATTTTTCACATACTGCAAGAAAATTGGAGTCTGCTCGTATTGTTTTTTCTATTTATTTCCCGATAGTTTTTAATATTTGAATAATGCCTGAAAAGAATTATAATACAAGTATTACTTACTTGAATGGTTACATGCTTTCCATCGATTGCTCCAATGCAATGTGGAAAGTCCCATATATCTTCAAAATCTTCTGCGATGCTCCGCCAGTCATCTTCGAATAACTGAGGTGGAAGAACCAAAGGACACAAATGTTCCCAAATAATCTTGCATGTTGTAGCAATAATATTGCTTACAGTCGTCAAGCCTACTAAATATTGATATGTCATTGAAGACATGGAATCACCAGCTGCCAGAAATCTGAAACGTAATGCAAATTGATGTAATGCAACATTTACATTCATATAACTAAAATAAAAACAAAAGATGTTTACCGTAATGTCAACGTCAATCGTTCTGCTGCACTTATCGGCTCTCGCACGACGTATTGTTTCTCTAGATGCGGGCCTACAATGGCTAACAACTCTTCGTATTGCGTGGTTGACATCCGAAAATAATTATGGAACCGCAGATCTTCCAATTTAAGTGTTGGCAGCAAGGCATGGTAAAAACCATGCTCACAGCGTTTTTTAAAAATTGGAGCAACCCAGAAACGCTTCTTTTTGTTGATCCGTCTGTTTTTTGCAGCTAATAACATAGCTAATGATCCGAGCAACTTGTCACGTCGGTCTGCTTCTACATTCTGTTCCTGACTGCACTGCATTGACCACTCATAAATTTTCATTTTTGCAGACATGATATATTGATTATTTAAACTGATAACTGAGATACTGAGGAATTGAGGTTATATTGTTTCGCGACAAACGCGATGACGCCGAATTCGCGCGGCAGACGCGGCAAGCGGCATCAGTTTCAGAAGCCCCTAGATCTAGTTCTTTCTGAACTGCCGCGCGCGGCAACTTGCCGCGTCCATCAGTAGGCACCTTAACGCTGATTTTTATTAGAAGTATGTAAATGTTTGCTCTTTCTGTAATCTAAAAGTAAATAACATTATGATGAAAAGAAAATTTTACTCTAAAAATTCAGACAATACCAAAATCAATTGTATATTTATTTTTAAACTATCATTAAATATATATTTATTATGTCTAAATTTAATTTAAAAATGATGTTCTTTTATGTAACAACAGATCAGTTGGAGAAAGATTTGATTTAAGCAAATCTACATTATTTTCCTGCTTTGTTCGAATTACGACAGCTTTAAATGATTTAGCACCTCAAGTGATTCATTGGCCAACAGAACAGGAACTTCCATTGGTAAAAGAAAAATTTAAAGCTATGGCTGGAATTGATGGTGTTATAGGTGCTCTCGATGGGACATATGTACCAATTAAAGCACCATCAAAGGATCCAGAAACATATCGAAATCGTAAAATGCAGTACGCCATAACGCTGCAAGCAATTTGCGATGCTAATTTAAAATTCATAGATAGTTATTCAGGATATCCTAGTTCAGTACACGATGCTAGGATTTTTAGAAATTCTGACATTTATAATTTGATACGTCAAAATCCAGAAAAGTATTTTCCAAATGATGAATTTATTTTAGCCGATAAAGCTTATCCTACTTTAAAGTGGTGTATTACTCCATATATAAATCGAGGAAATTTGACAAGACAGCAGGGAATTTTTAATACACGAGTTTCACAGACAAGACAAACAATTGAAAGAGCATTTGCTCTTTTATTTGGTCGATTTAGACGCTTAAAATATTTGGACATGAACAGAGTCGATTTAATACCCAAAACGATACTTGCATGCTGTGTTTTGCATAATATATGTCTAGATTTTAGCGATGATTTGATATGCGAATATGTACAAGAAGGTATGGAGGCAATAATGGAAAAACCACAGGAACAAATTATATATGAAAATGAAAATGAAAAACGACTTGGAAATGAACGTCGCGATGCACTATGCAAAGCATTAAATCAAAATCGTCGACAAATGTAATATGTTCTCAGTGCTATATTCTGTAATATAACATATATTCTATAATATATTTTATAACTATATTTTATAATATAACATAAATAGGATATTCAAAAATAGGATCGCCCTAATACAGTTAAAATAAAAAATATACTTTTAAAATAATATACTATATAATAATATCAATTTAAAATAAACTTTTTCATTTAGATACTTTGAGGCGATATTTTTTAGAGTTAATACAGTAACCACGTCTTTGGCACAGATTTAAAGAAATTGAAAATCAATTTTTTTTTTCGCATTCAAGAAAAATAATTTATTAAGGGTGCTTTCCTTTTAGCGACACAAGTTGACACAATCATCATTCTGTCTTTTTTAAACATTCAGGCTTTAATAAAAGATAGAATGATACTTGTGTCAGCTTGTGTCAACTTGTGTCGCTAAAAGAAAAACGTATTAATTCAAACAATTTTTTAATCATTAACTATTCAATCTCATTTTTCTTGGATGCAAATCTTCTTATAATTTAAATTAATACTGATATACTTATCATTATATAAAATGTATTGCAGAGCCGGACGGAACAATATTAAATAATCTTATCACAGCTTTATAGCTTTTCCATTAATTTTTCCATCATGCGTTCATAAGAACTTATACTTTGTCGAAGAAGTTCTTGTTTTTCTTCGTGCCTGGCCTTCTTTGCGTTTCTTTATCTTCAAGTATAACTTGTAAATCACTGAGAGTTATTGTACTCGCTCTCTTTCGTTGTTTTTTTTTATTATCTTTCGCATCATCAAGATCTTTCTGTGTAACTGTAAAATAATAATGTAACTTATAATAAATGTAAACAAATTCTTAACCAAATACATTTATATAAAATAATAATATTTATCATACCTTCAAACTTAATATTGTCATTCGATGAACTTGCTATTGCAACAGGAATAACATTGGGTTTATTTCCAAACAATTCATCGAGTTCCTCAAAGTTATCACATTTTACTGGTGCTGCACCAGTACTTTTAGGACCCATATTATCTATTTTTTTAAAATACTTTTTCTTCATGTATTTCATTTTTTCTTTACATTGTGCTGCAACAAAATTATAGCCTTCGCATTTCATACCACAGGCAATTTTAGTCCAGATATCGTCCTTTTTAATGCAATTGGAACTAAAATCATTTTGATACTTTTTGTACAAATGTAGCAGCATTGCTCTACTTTTATCTGTCCATAAGTTTTTCATTCCTTTATCCAGAACTTTTTCATTGCTCTCTTCTAAGGGTATCAATATTATGTTCTCAGTTTCTTCTAAGATAGATGTCGAACAGCGAGATGAATTTTCTGTATCAACATTTTTTTCGGGTAACATAATTTCTATTCCATACGGTTTGAGCAAAGTTTCAATAATATATTCCGTTAAAGGAATATAAGCCATTCTGCCTGCTGTAAAATATAATTAAAAGAGGTTATGTTATTTGTAAACGTTTTTTAACAATTAACTTGAGAATTATACAAAGCAATTTTTACAAAGGAACTAGATATTAAGCATTTATTAAGCATAATTCGTTCTTTGTCGTGTCTATTAAGACACAACAAAAGGCGAAATAAATGTACCAAATTTCTAAACATATATTTTGTAACTTACTTTTATTGTCACGTAAATAAACTTCCGACATTTCTGCGTTGAAAATTGGATTTCTATCGGCACCTTCTATAACTTTATACAAAGCTTGGGATTGTGATATCTTACAATTAGACATATTTGGTACACTATTGTAATTTCACTTATTTCACGTACGGACAGAGAGGTTTCTTTCCCCTGGTACGGAATTCTTGTGTAAAATGTGAAAAGTGCGTTTCTGCGCATGACGGGTAAACTCTACCTCAGTCGCGAGCAGGGTACATAAGGAGCACCCTGGGTAATTCCTCAAGAACTTTCTAAACGCATGTGGGTAAAGGTAACTTTTCCACCATAATGTATTTTTCGACTTTCTGAACGAGTTCAGAGACATTTATACCCTGCGGGTAACGTTTACGAACGCAGCCCTGATTGATCAATCAGAAACTGTTACAAATAATTAAAAAATAAGAATTATTAATAATTAATAATAATAATTATTATAATTATAAATAATAATATATATAATATATATATAATATATAATAAAAAAATATTATATTGATAATTTATTTTATTTTAATTAATATAAATTAATATTATTATTAATTTATAATTATAATAAAAATAATACATATATTAAATAATATATTAAATAATATATTAAATAATATATTAAATAATATATAAAATAAAATATTAAATAATATAAACATATTAATAATGAATATAAGAGTTTTAACAAGGCTCTGTAATATAAATATAAATTTAACGTATAAGACGGGCAACAAGAGCCAAATCGCGGATGACAATGCGTTATCCTAACGAAACTAAATAATTTTTCGTTAGAATTAAATACCGGTGCACAAGGCACCAAATTTTTACTTGGACACGGCCAAGATTTTAAATATGAAATAATCTCATATTTTGAGATTTAATTTCAATACCCCTTTAACCCCCCTACGGAAAATAAATAAATGAATGCAAGAGAAAAATATAGATCCGAAAATCGCTGAATCGGGAATCGAACCCGAGACCTTTCACTTGCCGGGCGACTGCTCTTCCAGCTGAGCTATTCAGATCCTTTCGATTCTATACTTTTCTCTGTTATATATATTAATGTTGGTAAACAAACGCATTTTTTAAGCCAGCGTGTATCAAATATAAGAGTTTTAACAAGGCTCTGTAATATAAATATAAATTTAACGTATAAGACGGGCAACAAGAGCCAAATCGCGGATGACAATGCGTTATCCTAACGAAACTAAATAATTTTTCGTTAGAATTAAATACCGGTGCACAAGGCACCAAATTTTTACTTGGACACGGCCAAGATTTAAATATGAAATAATCTCATATTTTGAGATTTAATTTCAATACCCCTAGGGGTGTTGAAATTAAATCTCAAAATATGAGATTATTTCATATTTAAAATCTTGGCCGTGTCCAAGTAAAAATTTGGTGCCTTGTGCACCGGTATTTAATTCTAACGAAAAATTATTTAGTTTCGTTAGGATAACGCATTGTCATCCGCGATTTGGCTCTTGTTGCCCGTCTTATACGTTAAATTTATATTAATAATGAATATTAATAATAATTGCGCATGCGCGAAAGCCCGGTTCGGATTAGAATTCTCCCATACTCCCATCTAGCTTGCTTCGCGGTTCGTGCTTGTCGGGAGAATCTTATGACGTCACGAACGGTTCCGCGGCCAATGTCAGAGCGGTTCAGCTGTTGTGGACGGACAATGGCGATGATGGTGTGACATCCCGGACGGGGCTAGATGTTTTCGCTGCGTTGTCCGGCTGCACGTAAACGCGCATCAGCTCGCGGTGGCTGAAGGCCACGTCCTGGCGCGCAGCCCCAGGTGGTCTCCCGCACTTCTCTCGCCTCTCCTGTCATTCTCCTCGCCGCTCCCGCGATGGCTACGGTGAACGCAACCGCGCTGTCGAGTGACATAAGTCGTAGAAATCCTCAGGACGAGTACGAGCTCATCCAGAGAATAGGCAGCGGTACCTACGGCGACGTCTACAAGGTCAGTGTCCTCTGTCAACACAGAAAACCTGTCAACGAGCACGAGATTTTCAATTTTCGTCTTCCCTCTTTGCAGGCCAAACGTCTCTCCATGAACGACCTCGCAGCGATTAAGGTTATCAAGTTGGAGCCAGGTAAGCGTGAGAAATATTTGGTTCATCGGGGCAATCGACTTTTTCCTTTTGACATAGAATGCTTTCTTCACGTGCCATGAATACTCATGTAAAGTGTGCGGATTAAAAATTAAAAGGACTCGCAGAATTGTTTTTATTTATCTAGATGTTGAAATCTAACATGTAATCTATAGGAATTCTAGAAATGTGAACTTTGATGAGGTTTGTCACAGAATTACCAAGCAGAATAGTTTACAATATTTGTATGTTTTTTGTTAGGTGACGACTTTGCAATTATTCAACAGGAGATTCTAATGATGAAGGACTGTAGGCATCCAAATATTATTGCATATTACGGCAGTTATTTAAGGAGAGACAAATTGTGGATATGTATGGAGTACTGTGGTGGTGGATCGTTGCAGGATATATATCATAGTATGTATCTTGAACAATTCGACAATTAATAATATTCAATTCATGTAAAAAGTTTATAAAATAGTGATTTACAAATTAACATTTTTGTGATAATTACTTTTTTAAGTTGTTCTATATAATAATTATATCTTCAATTTTTTTAGTAACCGGACCATTATCAGAAATACAAATAGCGTACATGTGTCGGGAGACCCTCACTGGTTTAGCTTACTTACATAGTATGGGCAAGATGCATCGTGATATTAAGGGTGCCAATATATTGTTGACTGAGGCGGGTGATGTAAAATTGGCAGACTTTGGTGTATCGGCACAGATTACTGCGACGATTAACAAGAGAAAGAGCTTCATTGGTACACCTTACTGGATGGCTCCTGAGGTGCTTTAACAATTTCTTGCAATTAATATAAATTGTCTTAATTGATTTAGTGTGATAAATTAATTCGCCAGTATAAAATTAAAACCAAAAATGAAAGTATATAGTATTAAAGAAACGACCGATACTGGACTACAAAGGCTTTATTTCAATTAAACCTGTGATTTAGGTCTTTTTCAAATGAGATAATATTAGAGATGACCACATAAATACAGCAGTGCGTAAAATTTATAACTTTTCACTAATATACATAAACATATTTCAAGATTAAACATTGTGTCTTAAAAGACTTCTCATCAGTAAAAGAGTGTGTTCATGTAATACAATCACTTTTAAACTAAGTTTAATTCACAGGTCGAAACTATACTTTCATTTTTAATTTTTTGCAATATTAATACGCATTTTGTAAAGCTACACTGTAGATCAACACAATTAATATTTGTGCAATTATCCGTGCAGGTAGCAGCTGTGGAGAGGAAAGGTGGATATAATCAGCTGTGCGATATATGGGCGTGCGGAATAACCGCGATAGAATTGGCGGAGTTGCAGCCGCCGATGTTTGATCTGCATCCAATGCGCGCTCTATTTCTCATGTCCAAGTCGGGGTTTAAACCGCCGACGTTGAAGGATCGCGATAAATGGAGTCCAACGTTTCACAATTTCGTCAAGGTCGCCCTCACGAAAAATCCCAAGAAGAGACCGACGGCGGAGAAGTTGCTTCAGGTTAGTCTTGCTTGGTTCACCGATAGACACGATTTGTCTTGTGTATGTTTGACGAGAGAAGAAGAAAGATATATCTCTGCAAAATCGAACCTGAAGTAAATTATTCTGAATGTTGCAGCACGCGTTTTTCCAAGGGGAGATGCATAAAAGACTGGCGTTAGAATTATTGCAAAAGGTGTCGAATCCCAGTCACATGTTTGCCGATTTAGAGGCCGACGAAGACGGAGCGGTACCCAATGTTCCACAAAGAATAGCCTCGCGTCACACTGCAAGGCCTAGGCCAAAGAGTCCCATATCGCAATTAGATAGTGATGGTAAGCATCGATTAATAGCAAATAATAACCAATGGATTGTACATTTTACAGCTTAACTTAATTGTGATTATAATTTGTTCTGCAGATCAGATCAACATTGACGGAGGGACATTACATAGAGATTCCATATCACCATCTGTGGACAGTAATCCGGCGTGGGATATCATGGACATCATGAATAATGTCAAGGTAAGTCCATTGCAAATGCTTTGTTCTGCTTAAATTATATATTGTGGCTTACTTTATTAAACAATATTAATGGAGAAAAGAGTTGAAACAGCATAAGTATTTTTCGTATATTACAATGATTATGTTATTATTTATATGATATTATTAATTCATATTGAATAATCTAATATAAATATTATAAATAATTAATGCAAGACTTATGACAAAACATCTAATTTGCATATATAGGCTGTACATAATTGCGATGTGCATCCGGACTGTGGGATTGGTTCCGCGTTTGAAGATGAGCAGGAAAAGTAAGTTGTTTTGCACTTTCATTCTATCAACTTTTATCGCACACATTTTCCGCGAAAGAGAACATTGAAAACTATGAAAGCTTCTCTATCACCTTCATTAATATGGTAGTTGCTGTTTTGTTCGAAAATATTCTCTTGTCTTGTAAATATATGTCTTTTAAATATCTGATACAGAATTTCAGAAGTATTTGATGTTGTAAAAAGATTTTACAGTTTCATATAAATGTATGTATTTTGATTTTGTAATATGTATTACGTCTTCGTCATCTACATGCATATATATATATCGATTACAAAGATTAGTAAGTTGTGAGAGCCAAATGCAATTGTCATATATTATACTAAACAAGACAGCAATGCAGTATGCTGTGTTATAAGGATCGCCAACATTTATAAGGATCATCGTCATCTTATTCTTTGTTGATAGTAACTAATAATAAGTACATTGCATATGGCATGTGCTTTTGCTTTACATCATGTCATACTAGTTTCAAATCATAATCTTAAATATGAGAAGATGTACATTCATTACTCTTACACCTAAAACAGCAACACATCATATTCTGAAATATCTTAATCTAGGTAGAGAAAAAATTCTTATAAAATAGGCGATTATTAATCATATTATACAAAATCTTTAAATATGAATGTTACAGGAATTTGTCCTTTGCAATTTTCACATCTCCAATCATTCTTTTTTTTTAATCCTTTTTTTGACTCTTACCACAAATGAAAAGTATAAATTACTCAGAGAATAGATCAAGATATGCTCATTTTTTGTATTAGTACACTTGGCGCAAACCTTAAGACAAGTAAAATATCGAAACGTCGTAGCAAAACTGGCACAGAGATATTTCGTATGACTATAAGGTAATATAAACATTTTTCCCGGTTGGTGTCTGGAGTGAAAAAATTTCTTTCTATTTTTAACATAACAAAAAAAAACATGTAGCCAACACAATTATACGCTTACTATTCACGTTCTCTTAAAACTAAATATTTGAAAAGTTTTGATGGTTTGTCGCCGTATAACATTAAAATAATCCAAGTTGTGTAATATAACATAAAAATTGCATTGAATTTTTTCTACGTCAAAGTGATTCTGAAGAACGTGTAAATTAAAGTATATGTAAGAATTTTTTATTCGAATAGAGTTAACAATGCTTTTTAATCAGGTATAAATAATCAAACTCTTTTTTATATAACAAAAGACAATTATACAGACACATCTCGGCGGGACAGACATTTAATAATATATTGTGTGTATACGAAAGTACAGTACACTACTTTTTGCATGTTAGGCGATAGATACAATTGCTTGTATGCATGATTTGATAGTAAATTTGTCAAAGAATTGCTGATATATATCGTACATGCATTTTATTAAAGTAAGTACGATCACTTTTTGAGATATATTTGTACATACACCAACATATCGCGGTTTCGTCCATTAGAATTAGTCATTCTAAAAGCTAAAATCATGCATTTTTTCATAAATATATTTCGAGAAAACACTTAATAAAAGACTCTAAAAATGTCGTTTGATTCCGAAAATAGAGATTGCCCGAGTATTTTGGATACATCTTAACAATTTAACATAATATTCAGCTTTAAAAAAATATTGTAATATTTACATCCTGTCACTATTAATTCCTGTTCCTATAGCACATCCGCCCCACGCCTAAAATTTCGTTTTTTGTAATCCACATATTTCCAATTATTCTTTTTTAATATATTTTTTGATTTTTCTGATCAGTTTGTAATTTTAATAATTTCTCTCAACAGGAGTCTATTGCAGTACATTGATGAGGAGTTGTTGCTAAGGTATTGGCAGGTAACCCTTTTCCCTTGCACCTTGCACCTTGCACTTATGTATCCTAATAACTGCGTAATAATTCTTGTAAATTGCATTACTCGGACAATTAATTCGCTTACGTTCTTTCGATATCTTCTTTTATTGCAAACATTAACATAATTCTAATTAACGCGCATTTTGTCTTCGGTTTCGTGTTAATCTTAAAAGACTCCTTTGAAATTGCATACATGTATAATTTTTAAATTATCCTAAAGAAAATTTAGTTTAACTAAATGTACTAAAAAGGAAAATTATAAAACACAAATCTCTCTAAAAACATATATACATATTTCTTATTAATATATATTTTTTAATATAATTAAAAAACAAAGTGATTAAAATGATATATAAGTTTCTAGAAAACACAATTAATTATCACAAATTTAATCAACATTCGCAGCGTGATTAGAATAATATTGGATATTACACTGAGAGAAAAAATAAATAATTATAGTTATCATAATTCATAATTATTTTTTATGGCAATTATATACAAGGCCATTACTTTATATAAGATTATTATTATTAATTTTATGGTAGTAATAACTATAAAAAATAAGAATCTGAATTATAATAATTTTACGGTGCAATTGCAGTAAAATATCAGACAATTTTCTTTCAGTGTATAAACACAATTTTAGATAGATGTAGAATTATGCTTTCTTCCTGTGTTATGCATTTGATGTTATTTGTTGCATGTTAGTTTTTTCAATAATCTGGACACACTAAAGTTGTTTCTAAAATGTATCAGCCATGATGGTGGGAAAGTTTCTGTAATACGAAGTATCTATAATACGAAGAGAAAGAGATGTTAGTTTATATGTAGTTACACTTTCAATGTTTTATCATACATCATATATCACATAAGATTGTCTCTTTCGATTCTATAACTGTTTAATGAAAAAACTTTTTTTTACACAAGAAAGCGGATGACAATTTTTGTAGTTTTTTTGCTAAATTTTGATTTTCAGTCTTTAAATTGCTCTATTACTCGCAATTTTGAGAAATTTATTACTAAAATTTTATTATAGCTGTATAATATGTTGGAAAAATTTTGTCAAAAATTGTTGTTGGAACTTTTAGTTCTAAAAAAATTATGTTGATTAATTAAATATTTGCGATTATAAATATGGAATCTAATGTAACATTATGAATTAGATCATTGAGAATTTTTCAGTATCTTTATTCACAAATTAAAGATTTTCCAGATAACTAAATATAAATATCAAAAATTGACAAATTTATAATGGTGAAATTAATGAAAAATCTAATAGTTTTTATAAATTTTCATATACTCTATATTGCCATTTTGCCATTTCTAAGTCAATTTTAATGTTGAATTTTTGTTAGTAATCTGAAATTTTAATAAATATAATCTGAAGTTTTAAATAAACATCAAAAAATATCTGAGATTTATGATGGCTTAATTTACAACTTTCTCGTAATGTATATCTTATTAATCATAATCTTATTAATCATATTTAACATAACAATTTTGTTGAGGTCTAAAATCTAAATTAAAGCAAGATTTTAACATAAAAATATATTTTTCATATTTTTCAAAATTATAATGAAGCATTTTCTACTTAACATAATTAAAAAAAAAATTACGGAAAATAATTACTCTCTTTCTTGTGTCTTTTTTTATCGAACTCTATAATAACTCTCTAATAAGATCACGTATCTTGAAACGAGATTTATAAAAATTGATTGTGGGAAATAGCAATTTCTATGGACTTTTCTTTAGATATTATGTATTATAGAATAAAATATAAAAAATTATGATATAATGATTTAAAATAGAGAGAGAAGCACATCAAATTCTATTTATAGTAATAATTAGTAAAATGAACAGCAATTTTCCATGTAAATATATCTAAAAAGGAGAAACAATATTTCTGCTTTATCAAGCATCTTATATATTTTCGCAATTATGTATATATTATTTACAAGATTCTAAAGCGCAGAATATTTCGGACACAATAAAACGAAAAACGAGTTTATAATTTTTATAGTATGTGACCCTATCAATAGTTTCATGTGTGCAGGGGGAATGCAATGTCGATGGTCGATGGGCATTGCGATCAGCTATATTCCCTGCAGTAAGTAGATGACATAAATTACAGTAAATCATTTTTTATTGTCCCACACACATATATATTTTTGCACAGTAAAAAACATAACTTAAGAGGAAAAAAGATTGTAATTTATTTTCGGGGAATATCTCATGGCTGTTTTTGCCTATGGTTTGTTCAACTCACAATATTTGCCAAAAAATTTCATTCTGTATTACGTAACACCAGAATAGGCCTCACGATTGACACTTGTTAACACTTTGATAACACGATTGCCTTGTGACGTACTAAAATCTGATTGAAATATGCAGCTTTTACATGTCTAACTTGTTTTTTTTGCATCACATTTATTCGAAGGTCTATTAAACCACGTACATTTCAAGAGAAATACACGAGATCCTGATTGTTAATTTTATAATTTACAATTACGTCATTAACTTTATTTTTGTATTATTTGTTTTTTATTAACAAACGTATGTTTCCCCCTTCACGATAAAATAAAAGCGAGGAGAATAAAATCATAACGTTGTGCTTTCGTGCTTTCTTTTTTAGAGCCACTCTCCCACTCGGGGAATCATCGAACGATTGCGAGGTCCATTGCCCCTATTACAACGTGTCCGGTAAGTAATTTACACTGAAGCGATTGATGAAAAAAAAAAAAACACTTCGCGTACGATATAAATCGAACTTTAAATTCGCACTTGCGTGTTCGGATGATAAAGAGTAAATTCCTTCGCACAGGCTCTCAGGCAAGTCCTCGACGTCACAGCTCTGTGGACGAATTGTACGGTCTCGTTAACAATTCTCAATCCCTAACAACCGTGAATGGTCAACGTCAACGATCATTGTCGGATAGCGGACCTAGGGACGAATCTGCGCAGTCAAACGGTAAGAGTGTACGTCGTGAGTTCAGTGTGCTTTAGATATTATATATAATATTTATATATATTATTTATATTATGTGTATATATAAAATATTTATATATACTATTTTATGTTGAAATATATAAATATTATATATAAATTGTGTAATAATTATTAATATTAACAATATATTAATAATTAATAGTAATAACATATGTATAATTATTATACATGGAGAGAATTTCCTCTTAGAATTTACCCTGAAAATCATGGTAATCGTGAAACAATATGGTATTAGAAGAATTTTATAAGAGTTTCTCTAATTAATATTTATCACAATAAAAATATTAATAATGTATGTGTACATAGTAAAATTAATCGAACATATTTTATATTTTATTGTGATAGATATTATATATAAATATTATATATAAATACAATATATTAAATATATAAATACATATAATTAATTACTCATCTTTTGTATTCGAAAAAAACTTGATATCTTGAGATATTAATGACATTAATACACATATGTATAATTTATTGATTTAATCTCAATTTTTTTAGGTGATAGCAATGAGATAGCAGCTGATCGAGACAGAGAGAGCATGAGTCCCGATTTACTCTCGGATACACCGCCCGTTCCTCCGAGGAGGAGGGATCGAAAAAGGCACACGCCACCAAGACCTATTAGTAATGGATTACCTCCCACGCCGAAAGTGCACATGGGAGCGTGTTTCTCAAAGGTCAGCTTACGAAAGAGCTTATTTGATTTTCTTGTGTATGTGTGTGTAGAAGAATGCCAGAGAAATGTTCACGTAATAAAATATATATAATATCTAAATAATATAATCAGCAATAAAAAAATTGTATATACATATACGAATTATTTTTTTTTATTGCTGATTATTATTCTTTATTTCAAATTTTATTACGTGAAATTTCTTTTACTGCATTATTTTTCGATAATATGTTAAAATCTTATTCATCTTATTTCTATTGGAAATTTTAATAGGTATTCAATGGCTGTCCGCTGAGAATACATTGTACTGCGAGTTGGATTCATCCGGATACGAGGGATCAGCATTTGTTGATCGCGGCGGAGGAAGGGATTTACAACTTGAACTTGAACGAGCTCCATGAAACTGCGATAGACCAGTTATATCCGAGACGTACCATCTGGATGTATGTTATTAAAGATGTTCTCATGTCCCTTTCTGGTAAGCGCATCTTGAGATTGTTATCATTGATGCATGTCTATTCATTTCTCTGAATAATGTTATTGATGTGTATTGTAGGAAAGACGCCTCAGTTGTATAGGCACGACTTATTAGCAATGCTAAGTAAACAGACTCATAGGTTTTCGTTGCACATGAATAAAATACCAGAGAGATTAGTCCCTAGGAAATTCGCCCTCACTACGAAGGTGCCGGATACAAAGGGATGCACCAAATGCTGCGTTGGGAGAAATCCGTATAATGGGTGAGTGAAAACTTTATTATCATAAAATATTGTTATAAATATTTTCTATAAAATATACGAAGTAAAACTTTTTGATGAAATAAGAAGAAAAATAAATCCAAGTATTAGTCCTTACATATAGAGGAAAAAATCGGATGTGCAATAATTATTTTAAGCTTGTCAGTCAAATAAAACTCAACAAATATAGCGATCTGTCTTTTTGAACGTGCAGGTACAAATATCTATGCGGCGCGATGCCGGCTGGTATATTCCTAATGCAATGGTATGATCCATTGAATAAATTTATGCTTCTGAAGCATTTCGACTGCGCTCTCCCGTCACCTCTAAACGTCTTTAAAATGGTTATCACACCTGAGATGGAATACCCAATGGTATGTGTATCGGTTAAGCAGCCATATCAGCAGAATAAATTGAAACTGGATTTGATTAATATGAACTCAGGAGCGAGTTGGTTCCACAGTGATGAATTAGAAGATATGGACGGTTCAGGTATTCTTATGTCATACATAGTTGACAAATTTTATTTAAAAAAGTTACAAAGAATTATAATCTCTATTGATCTTATTTTTATTTATTATTTTTTTTACATAAAGTTTTGCAATTTTAATCTTCTCTTTATTTTTAAAAATCTGACAATTTCCTAAAATCTTTATTATTTGGGAAAATTATTATCCTCTTTTTAATAAGAATATTTTTTTCAGCAACTGTGATACCAAGAAGAGAGAATTTGAACGTTATTAATGTCACACAATTTGAGAAAGATGCAATACTCGTTTGTTACGATAGTGAGTGTTACTAGAAGTTTATTATTATCGAGTACAATAATATTATACAATATTATTATACAATAAAAAATTAAATATTCGTATTTACAGATGTGGTGAAGATGGTGACACTACAAGGGAAACCTCGAGTTAGCAAGAAACAACTGTCAGAGCTGCAGTTTAATTTCCAGATCGAATCTATCAGTAAGCACACAAAACACTTTATTCACTCGCAATCTATAGTTTTTGTGACTAAAACAATGTGTCGTTTATTTTTAGTTTGTTTACCAGACAGTGTATTGGCGTTCCACAAACATGGTATGCAAGGTAGAAGTTTCAAGAATGGCGAAGTTACTCAAGAGATTAGTGATCCGAGTAGGACTTATAGGCTATTAGGCTCAGACAAGTATGTATCTAATGATATAAAAGATTTGAGGAAATGATCCATGTTAATGCAATAGAAGAGCATAATTAAAAAATAATTATTAGTGAGATTCGGTGTTTTTCCAAATCTCTTTTTTTTATTAGAATTTTAATTGTGATCTAAAAATAAGATTTTTGTTTTCTTAAATTTCTACATTAATTGATATATTGTTAATTCATAATATCAAAATTGATTTGATAAATTTTCTCTTTTAGAGAAATTTCATATATAAAAAAATTTAATATTATTGATAAAATCTTAATTTTAACTGATGTTTTTTTTTTAAATATTGTATATTTTATATTTTATATTTAAATTTTGGAATTTTTAAAATTGTATATCTATATCTTTTAAGAGTCGTATATCTTTTTATTAATATTTATAATTACATATAAATTAGATTAATATTAGATTAATTAATAACCATTATGTGTATTAAACAGGGTTGTGATGTTGGAGAGTCACCTGGTTCACAGTGGTACATTGACTGAATCAGAAGGGGCCGATCTCTATATACTCGCTGGACACGAAGCCAGCTATTAAGAATCGATTTTCAAATTGCTAGCACGCTGCATTATCGTCTCGTGACGATTTGTGATTGAACTGCACGTGGAACAACTACAAGAGAGCGGTGAGATTAAAGTATATACGCAGAGAGGTAAAAGCTTTACAATTAATTATTTTCATTACTTCGCAATGTGCAATTCCAACGTTGCTGCGATGGGTTATTGCCGTCTCTCCGGTAGTAGTTGATATCGCGTAAACTGATAATTGCTCGCGGTAACTTTTTTAACGAGAGGCGTCATAGAACTTAAACAGTTCTTTGAATAGATGCGCACTACGATAGGGAAAGATATTGAGTTTATCAGAAAGATACGAAACTTAAGAGAGAGAATATGTATGTATATCCTTATGCCTGATTAAATGAAGCCAATAAAAGCCGTACTGCTTGTAAAAGTATTGGATAAAGGCAATTTCCTAGTTTATGTAGTTATACATGTGTAAATTACGCTCTTATATAAACTACGAGAAGAGATTTATGATTAAATTAAAACCTCGGAAAGGGGAATTGTAAAACTAATGTGAAGATTATATTCCGTGTTTCCGACGTTATAATATACATAGCTAAATTAGCTAGAATATATGGTGCAAGAGAATTGCTGCGCAGCGCGTTTTAAAGGCAACGAAGTTCTTGCAATGCTGTACAAAATGGTACAGTTTCGGATTCTATCTCTTTTTTTCTAGAATCATGCTATATTCTAATTCTAGCTCTTAGCCTTCGAGAACCGTTTTGATCGTAATAGGGTTTAATAGGAATAAAAGCTAACGTATTTGTATTTTCGACGATCGCGGGAGATTATTTTCTAGACGTGACAATATTTATATTCTTACACACAGAGAAAGTCGCGTGAAGTTTTCGAAGGTTAAAGCGCTGCATTCAGATACAATATCCGAGGGAATTTTCGTGTAACTTTGACGGAATCTGTGTGACATTAATCGAGATTACAGCTTAATATCTCTTTGTCGTCTCGCTTTCACGAGATTCGAATTTCGGTGACCGGATCTTTGACTAAAGTGATCGTTTTTACAATCTTTTCATTTTCTTGACATTTACACATTTCTGCATATAAATACAAAATTGAATAAACGGTGTTTTTATTCAGTTTTTAATTAAATGAAATCAATATTTCTCTTTTTCGCTATTTCCAAATTTCAACGTTCTCCAAAAAATTAGTCTTTGTTTAAACAAAATTCCCAGTTAATTAATTAGGGAATCCAGCACTCAAATTCGATCTGCTGGAAGCAGGACGCTACGTGTATTTTCTTCCAAAGACGATAGATCGTAGAAACAACGGCAACGACATAGAAGGAAAGTAGCTAATTGTATGTCCCGTAAAAAAGAGTTCTTGAGAAATTCACGTAGAAATGAATTTCACTATGTGAATTGTATACATATATAAGATATCGTGTACACATATATGTACACACACGATGTAAGCAGTACAAAATTCGCTTGTACCAGGTGTCATCCTTGAAAGAATGTGTGTATATACGTGCGCACATCAATTCTATGCTATTCGAGCTTCATTTTGTTGGGCATGGGATCACAACTTTGAGAGAGAGAAAGAGCTAGCTTTATTCAGACATCGCGTTCGTCTCGCGGTGTCTCTAATTTTTCGGCGATATTAAAATATATATATATATATGTATCTATATATATATTATAAATTGCACGACAATATGTCATCGATAGCGATCGTGTGAATTTATCTTGAGATATACACGCGATATACAAAATGCATTGCTAAGTTTGAATCGTTTCGCTTGCTGCAAGATTGTAATAAACTCATCCAATCATTTGTCTTGATTTGCGCGCAACGATAATCCCCGATATCTATTTTCTTGCTTTACGAAGCAATCTAACACTTCTTCGAGTCATACAGTGCTCTCTGATGAAGCGCCACTGTGATATATGTGACGGGAACAAAAGAAGCAGTCACACACGAACAAAATAAGACGAGAGGAGAGAAATAAAAATGATGATTTTAATACAGAAAATATAAAGAAGTGTCAAATTAACAATATTATAGTCCTTATTTCAATTTTACATATATTGTCTGAAGAATATAATATAATAAAATATTTTTATGAAAATAAGTTATTTTTTATATTCAACATATTTTTCTTAATCATCTTCTCAAATAATAAGATTTTAATATTTTTTCTAGAATTATGTAAAATGTTTTCATTCAAGCAATTTTTTGCGTATACAAGGGTTCATTTGACACTTCTTTTATTCTGTGAATGCGATTTTTCCATCGTTTAGGCACTTCTCTCCATATAAATCGGTCGCATCAGAGATCACGAGCGCATATAATTGTCCGCAGCAATTTCTTTTATATTTGACATTTTTTTCTTCGACATATTGCATATATCGTCAATGACGATGTTATCGTATATTATAATATATCTGTGAAGCGACGAGCGCAACATAACTTTCATGTGATCGGTTTCAAGACTGGGAGAAAATGTATTTTCTCGTTTACAGTAGACTTTCTATAATCCTTGAGAAGGAAGAGTGCTGGATTACATATAGGCTTTATTAGGCGGAATATTGCATTTTTGCAACTTAAGTATCGTCAACGTTGTTTTATTTTCACGGGAGAGATTTCACTCTGTACCAAATATACAAATTATATCCCGGAACATTTGTTAAAATTCGATCACCTATAAGTTGATGCTTGTAGATCTATAATGATTGAACCAACAGACACATTCCCTTTTTTTAATTTCGAATATTTGACCAATTTTTAAAATAAAGTATTCACTAATCGCGCACTTAATTATTAGCAAAGATATATTATTCGTATTAATTATAATTGATGTATGATGATGTAAATTTGACATAATCATTCATTCTTTGATTATATCTTGATAAGTTATCGCGGCGATTTTTTTTTTAGTTTGTAACTCTTGTAATTTATTTAACGCAAGGAAGTGTAATTAATTCGCGAGCTTATCATAGTCAAACGATTCATTATTAAAGTCATACTGGACTATGACCTAAGAAGAGTAGAAGCTCTTGAAAATTTACCGCGTGAAAAACAAACATGTATTTTATTTTTCTTCAGACTGATATATATATATATATATATATATATATATATATATATATATATGTATATTTATATAGTGTCTAGCACTTTTCCGTTTATATCGTCGAGATTTTGCCTTGAGTCAGAATCTTTAATTTACAATTCTTTGATGAGAGAGGCGTAAATTGAACCTGTAAAAAATCGTCAAAGCGAAACTCACGAAATTATATCCGTGCGGAATGTTGAACTATTTTGATATTTTATATGGATCTTTTTTCTCTGTACATAGAGAATAGATTGCTAAAGAAAGTACTATATATATTATCGAAAAGAGTTACGAATCGGTGTCTTATTACATTGTTTTTCGCTTGAATTTTCGCCTCACGCTTACATAATTCCAAAGCGATGTTTTTTTAATTATTATAATATATGTGTCTAAGTTCGCAGTTTGACTTTGCAGAATTTTGTATTTGCATCGCGTAATTAATAATTAATTGAAAGAATCTGCTGATATTTCTGTCAATCGCTCTTATATCGATTGTCGATTAATTCCACGCTCGATCAAATGCTACGTCAAATCTACACGACATTTATTGTAAACAGAGTTAAATAGGAAACACAATTGTCTTCCCCGTATATATTTAATAATATCCGTAAAATCATGTAATTTCAACGTTTGTTTAGCCGACAATCTCCGCTTCGTTAATATTGTAAGAACTATTCGAGCGAACTTAGTATATAAAGTATAAAGGATAAATCTGCTATTTGCGATAAGCGATTTCCGATAAACATTTTTTTTACGATGTCTAAAAGAAGGAGGAAGATTGTGATACATATATCGAAAAAACGAAATGCGGAGAATTATCTTTATTTCACGCAGATGTAATTCAGCTGAAAAGTTATGACAATGAGAAGGCTGTTATTTTAAAAAATGTATAGAAATGTCAGATTCGAAAGGATAGATATTATTTTATCTTGTATGGAGAGGAGATTTTATTTGCGCGAGATTATTCTACTTCTTTCCGGAGACGTACATATTTAAAAGATATTTTGATAAAAATAACCGTAAATAGTAACTGCAATGTTATCTGATGTGAATTTTTGTATTATTGTAAAGACAATAATTTTATCCGGAGCATCGTATCGAACGAATCACGGGAGGAAAAAAAGGATAGCTACATCGGCGACATCAGATTAGATATACATCTTAGAAATCTAGAAAATGAATAAATTTTAGAGCGAAGAATGAAGAAAAAAAAATAGAGGACACAATAATTAGAGAATCTTTAATTCTCGGACACAGACCAAGTATTAAAAAACAACTAAAAAAACATACATACACGTACACACACCATGCACTTTGTGTAGATTTCACATATCCATGTTCTGCTAACGATTTAAAATGAAATTTTATTCTACATAATTTTCACAAGAGAATGATAGTAAAAAATATAAAGTGAGTATGGGTGTAAAACACACATTAAGAGAGAGATATCTCTATTTCGGTATAATTTTATATAATTGTTAAAAAAATGAAACGCCTGAATACGCACTTTTTATTTACTCTTTTTTCGAGTTATTTTAAACATGACAGATCAATACTTATCTTTCGTAATAAATTAATATAAAAGATTTAGAAAAAAGGAAGTTCGTTATTTTGAAACAGTCAGGAAACGAAATATAAAGATATGCGACTGTTAATCTATGTATAATTAATCGTTGCGTCCAATTTGCGAAGAGTATCATACACCTATACTAGCAAAAATCTTCGAAAAGTTCCCTTGCGCAGACATGTATGTAATTAATACACATGTAAGTGCTAGGACAATTGATACAGCGATAAAATGTACCTGTACACATTGACCATATTACATGGTTTGCCTCTACGTACGATGCTTGAGTTCCAAAATCTTCTATTCTCGCATATTTTTAAACCTTGAAATCTGCATAGCAAAAGTGTAGAGACAGTAATATATGTATATATTTATTCCTTAATTTTTAATCATCCTTTAGATTTATTTGGTTTAAATTGATATAATATTTAATTTAAATTAATATAATATTTAATTTACATTAATATAATATTTAATTTAAATTAATATAACGAAAAATATTTTCAGAATTTTACTATGCATAAGGATTTCTAATCTATTTTATGATTATTTGATTTTTATTTAATTAAAAATTTCAAAAAAAAATCGTATAAAATCGATTTTATAATGCAGTCAATTTTAATGTCAAAAGTATTTTACATAAAATATATTGGGTTTGAGAAAAAAAAGTCAATCCGATAATCTGAGGGATAGAAGATTAAGTATGCATGTACGCTTATCATTATTTTCAATTAAGAATCTGGCGATTGATAACATATAACATATTACGTTTTGCACGCAGAGAGATATACAAAATATTTTGAGAGGCAAATTCGTAAATTACATAAGGTGGAATAAAAAAAAGAGAAAGAATATATATATATATATATATACATAAATATAAATAAATATATTTAATAAAATTTCTTGACATATATATATATATATTGTAAATTTAAAGAGATATTCACTTAATATCTAATAAAATAAATTCCGATAATTTTGTTAGACGACAAAGGTGAAGATACGAATTGCCGATATATCAGTAATAGTTGTTAATAAAAAGCCGTAGCGACACAGGTAGAACAAAGACGAACAAAATTATTCTTCCAATCGGAAATTAGAGGAAAGCGAAACAGAAATATAATATTAATCATCGTACAGAGAGATTTTTAGAAGTATAAAGAGCTTCTGCTGTATAAAAAGAAAAGATTCTCACCAAGGTGTTACTCTGTTACGCGCATTTAATTATTTATTTAAAGAATATTAACGTAACGCTGTCCCCTTCCCTTAAAAAATTTAGCAGAAATAAATTGCGAAAGAGGACGTTGATTTATTCTTTATAATCTAGAATTACGTATTAATATACACCGGAAGATAAGAGAGTAGAGGAATTTTCCTTATAAATATTAATTGAAGATGTACTAGCGATTAAGTCTGTAATTATACGCGAAAGTTGTATATAATGTGTATAACGTATTATATATACATATGTTAATCTTGCGTTCGCCGAGTCTTCGTTTTAGTCATTTTTTATATAAATACAGTATTGCGAAAGAGAGAAAGAAAATAATTTATAATTAACGCGCAAACATATTTAATTTACCAATGTATCTATAATAGAAACAATTAGACAAACTTTTCTGTAAATAGACCTTCCCGCAATAAAATCCACCTAAAGGAAAAAAATATATACTTATATATATATATATAGTCCAAAACATTTGCAATCCATCATCCTGTTGATGTGCTTCCTAATTATAATTTATAAAAATACTTACCTAAAAATATTATACTTATTGGTGTCAATTTTCTGGTCGAGATAAAAATGAAAAATACAAAATGAAGCGCAGAATTCATATAAAACATTATATTACTATATACACATGCATTATATGATAGCACATATACTGACTATTTTCTTATTCTAGCCAACGTTTTAATTATTTCAATTTATTCAATCATAATTGACGAAGTAGTTAATTATTTATTTGTGAAAACAAAAGTGCAGAAAATTATGATTGGGAATATAAAATTTGTTTGATATCAGAAACTTGCGTCTTCAAATTCTTTAGTTATAGTTTAATTTAATTGATGATCTTTTTGATCAAAAACAGAAAACATGGCTTTTCCAAATGCTTCGTTTAATTAAAAACTGTTCTCTTATATGCTCTATATAATATTACAAGTAAAATATCAAACAATATTTATTTTAACATATATTTCAACAATCTATAGGTAGATATTATGAAAACAATTGACGTAGTTTTCTTTACGCTTTTATGAAATATAATATAAACGTCTGAAAGTTGACGCTTTTATTACATGCACATCAACATTAAGTGAGATATCAATTTTTATCATAGAATAATAGTATCACGTTAATTATCTTCCAGCCATATGAAGACACACTTGACTAAAGTTAGTTCTCAAACTTCTCAGTATAATAGATTATATGAATAAAGTAAAGCAAACACTTTTACTTTCATCTATCAATGAAATATTGGAATAAAAATAAAATTAGAAAATTATTTTTATCGGACATTATCTCTGTTCCTGGAAATATTATATAATCTACATGTGAATGTGCAAATTATTTTTTTTAACGATCGAGATTTAATTAAGGAAAAAAAGATTTTAAATATGATATACAAGATATTTCATAAAACATATAAAATATATTCACTTGTTTCATATTAATTTCAATTAAAACGCGAGCATTTTTTATCATGGATCGAATGCACAAGTATTTTCACGGAATATCTTTTTATCAAATTACCTATTTTTATTTCCAATTTTTACAAAGTTTCTTATGTATCTTATATAAGGATTAAAGCTCCTGGATACTCGCCGTGGAACTCCAAATTTCGACAGTAGCGACATCAGGCGGATTATAGTTCTGTCTGTTTTTCTAAGCGAGAAATGACAGCCCGAAAGATTCTTGCGTGGCATTTTGTTATTATTCCTTTTACGCTAGTTTTGTGACGTGTGGTGTATACGTGAAATCCGTAAAAGACTTCGAAAACTAAGATTAGCGAGGGATTCTAATCGTGGAAAGAATATTTTCCACTCTTTTCGGCAGTGTCAAACCGTGTATTTTCCTGCATAATGAGGCTAACTTTGACGTTTATTTTAGAGCTATTTATTAGTTGCCAAGAGGAAAGGATTGTTTTCGAAGTCTTTTAGGAGTGTACTAAAGCAAACTAAAGTGTAGTTTTAGTCGAATATTTTTTTATTTAGAAATGCCACGCAAGAATTCTTAGCGTGTCATTTCTCGCCTCTGACGTCACAGTTAAATATGGCTGCGGCGACAATCCAGGAGTCTTAAATACTACTTTTCCTAGATAGAGCACTTCCCCTGTACTTATACTTGGCTGATACTTGGAACATCGTTTGCGTAACTTCATACGAAATCAATAATTCAACAAGTTTCGCAGGCTTCTAATAAGAACATTTGCTTCACTTTCATTCACACAACCAACCGACTGTGACTCGAGACTTATCAAATCTCGCAATTAACTCTATCATATATATATATATGTAATGTAACTCTATATATACATATATAAGTACAGATCACGTCTCGATGTGTCCCTGCAGTTGACCCACTATCTTCCGCACCCAGCCCGCTTGACTCTGGCCCGCGGAAACGTCAGGATCCATCATCTCCGAGTTCCGGTCGATCGACGAGTCGCCTCGCGGCTGATGAACTCTGTTCAGCCTCCCGGTGACCTTGATTTCCGAATCAGCCGCGACGTGTCCCTTCGTCGGGAGCGACTTGATCTTCAGGTAATCCGGTTTCTGCGCGACACTCGGTTTCCACCTCGACGACGGCATCAATGTCGAGAACGTTTCCTGCTTCCTCCGGGCGGGTATCGGCGGCGCGACCTTCACCTTCGGCGACGTCGTCGCGGTCGAGTGCCGCGTCACAAACACCTCGTCGACGTCGCTGAATATTGCACTGTCCCGGAACGCCTCGTCCACATCGGCGTCCGCGTAGTTCTCGATGGTCTCGAAGCTCCTCTCGTAGAAGCTGTCCGCGTCCTTGTTGCTGCCCGCGTCTTCCTCCTCCTCCTCCTCGTCGGTCTTGCCGATCGATTGATTATTGGCACCTGTAGAAGAGGACTGGACGCGTTTGCTCTCAGCGAAGAGAATCGCGGGATCGGCGTAATCCGACTGGGCGATTCTAGCGCCGAGACTGGAACTGCCTTGCTTGTAGTAGAGCTGGGGGATCCGCTGATCGTTGATCGAGCCGACGCTCGAGCACCCCACCAGCTCCTCTGCATCCGAGGAAAGCTCCCTCGTCTGCTGGTTCTTCGTCTTGGTCCGTCTTTTGGAACATTTTCCGTTCACTCCGCTCAACGAGCGGAAGTACCGCGTCCGCTCGACCTCGTCGTTGCATTCGAGCGTCTCCGTGCTCATGGTGTTCCTTAGACGGCCCTGCAGACGGCTGCTCGCCTTAAAGAAGACGCTCCGGAAGATCGTGCTGCCGTTCGCCCGGTAGATCTTGTGCTCGGGATGAATATTCGCGCCCTCGGTGGCGGACATTCGCACGTCGGAGTAAGCGTCGTCGGTCAGCCGCGTGTCCTCCAGCGAGCAGAAGAAAGTCGACGTGCTGGAGCTCGTGGACGTCGCCGGCATGGGAAACTTGGCGATCCTGCCCTCCGGCTGACACGTGGACGCGTACCTCTCCATGTCCTCAAGGTTGATCTCCGCTGGCTTGTCGGACGCGATCGTGAACGGCCGCTCGCTCATCGGTTTCCCGTCCCGTTGCAGGAACCGCGACTTCGTCACGCACGTCGGTCGCGAGTTTGGACTGATCTGAAAGCTACGCGGAAGCGAGCCGCACTTGGGCGGCGACGTGGGCAGACCCTCGCACAGCTTGGTGAGCCAGACCGCGGGCTGGGTCGGGCTGTCGCTGCCGTCGTCGACGTCCTTCGCCGTCTGCAGACCCTCCCAGACGTGCTGCAGGTTGTCGTAGTTACCGAAGCCCCTGGACTCGGCCTCTCCCGCCTCGTTGCAGTTGATCTCCTTGTGCGATTCCTCGGGGGCTCGGTGATTCGACGCCGGGTGGATCTCCTCGTGGTCCGTCGAATTATCACGAATGCGCAGCGCGGTCTGCATCACTTTGCTCTCAGTGACGATGCTCTGTCGTTTGAACGTCTCGAAGGTCCGCTGCTTCTCGTGATTGGTCTTGCTGGTCCGCGCTTCTGTCGAGGACTTCTGGACGGTCTTCAGGTTGTCGTAGAAGAACTGCAGCGGCTGCTGGTTCTCCCGCGCCGTCGTCGCCGAGGACAAAGAGTTCCAAGCGTTGTTCGTCCTGATCAGCCGCGTCGCCCGACCTCGTCCCGATTTGTTGTTGTTGTGATTGTTCGCGATGTAATTAGCGTTCTCCGAGTCGCTCTCGTCCGACGTGTCCGCGGAGATACGCTTGTTGAATCGTTGCTGTCGCACGTTGATGATGCTGTTGGTGCGTTGTTTCTCCAAGAGTCTCTGAAACTCTTGGTTCTGCATGAGAATGTGGCCGACGATCTCCTCTACCGTTTGCGTCGGAGTAGCATGCTGCTGCTCGAGATTATTATTGTCTTTGGCCTCGCTCGGAGGTGATGATGGCTTTGCTGTCTGATTCTCCGCCTCGGCGCCAACCTCGGCCGTTTCTTCGACCTCGGTCGTCGTAGACTGAGCGTCGCCGGTTATGTCCGCCTTTTGCTCCTCGTCCGAGTGATTGAGACACACGTACGATTGGAAGCCTGGCTCGGATTTTCGTCTCCAGCCGGTGAAGCGATCCTGAATATATTTATTACATTTAAATACATATATGTGTATATGTGTATATACATATATGTATGTGTATGTTGTTCGTGTAGCATGATCGAATTTGTACATTCCATGACTCTTCTAGCATATCTTGTTTTTAAAAAACAAAATGGCAGCCCTTAACTCCTCTGAGATGAAAAATGCAGATGAATGGGATGATTTTAAATAAATATTACAAAATAATAGAGTGCGAGAATGCGATATTTCTAAAATTAATTTGAAAATTATATTTTGTGTTTATTTGCATGGCAGGTTGCATTGAAACATGTTAAGGTTGATGGAATAAAATAAAAATGTGCAATGAAACTATATATTCGAGATAAGCGTGTAAAATAAGTGAAGTTTAAATTTTTATAAAAAAAATCATAAAATAAGATATAGTCTAATGATTTAAAAAATACTAATGTATGTGTAATGTATGTATAATACTTATGAGTAAAAAAGGATAATTTTTCAGGATATATACCTATAAATTATTATATATAGTTTTATAATAATTATACGGCAAATAATAAAAACCTTCTTGATTTTCGAGACTCGTATATCCGACGATCTGTTAAGAGTTTGCTCCCTGGAGTCATTAATGGCGATATCTTCGTCATCTTTGCGCGATGAACCCTAATGATAAAAGAATTTATAAAATTCCCGGCTTATATCAAATAAGACATTTTCCTACATCTTTTTCCTCTAGATATCTCACCATTGTGGTATCAGATTTTCGGGCGCCCTTCTTCAGCTTCTGCCTAAGACCAGTCTCGGATCTACGTCTTTCTCTCTCCTGCTTACGTTTCTCCAGATATTCCGGAGGCGCAGAGTGTTTCTTCGCCGATCCTTTATCCGCGTCGTCTGTTAAAAATGTCACATTATTTTTTCCTGTCGACTTGCACGACATGATTAAAAGTAATAGAAGATTTTTAATTGTACAGTATATTTGTATGTACCTTCTTGTTGCGTTTGACCCAATTGCAATACCAATTGTCGCGCGTGCGACGGTATAACGGCGTTATAATTCTCTAATATCACTCTCTTTATTTGAAGGGTCCATTCTCTCTTTTGTTCTAGATTGCGTGCCTGGAAGACAAATGATCGAGTTAACTAAGAATTATTTATATCTATTATTTTGCAATTAAATATCTCGACGAATCTCACTTGTAATGTATACTGCAATCGAGGATTATCAAAAGGTATCACATGAAAGCTGAATGGCTCCCCCGGGATACTTTCAATCAGCATTAAGTTTGAACACTGAAATACAATACAATTATTTGCATAATTTTAATTAATTTTTATACTTAATTTTTTTAACATATTATATTTTATATTCTTTAAAACTATATATTTAAAAATCAAAGGAACAATTTTTTCAAAAATTCCATAATCCCAGGATTTTTCAAGGTAGAACAAAACTCCCTGGAAGAATTCCAGGTTTTCCAGGTATTTCCAGGGAGTATACACCCTTTAATCAAAACAAAAAGCTCAAGATACCAACCATGATATGAGCTTTGTAAACCAGAAGGCCGTCCTCCCTCTTCTTCGTCAAGAGGAGCATACGATCGAAGAGGAAGGCGTGTCGCGGCGCCTTGGCCCCTCGCATTCGGAATCTACCCTCCGCTACCAGTTCGCCGCCGGTAGTCAGATCCGGTCCCAGCCAGCCGTAAAGAAGCGATTGAATTTCTTGGACGCGCACGGCGTGCTCGTGCCGCCTCTTCATGGCATTGATGTGCTTCGCTATCCCGGTCATCGCGGCGAGAGCGGCCTCGATGGCGCTCACGCCCTCGTCAGCCTCGTTCTCTCTCGTGTTACAATCGGCGCCGTACTCCTTGGACAGATTCTCGAGGAGCAGGTGATACTTGAGGATCCTCTGGACCGGCTTGAGGAGGAACGAGCCGAGCGGCAGCGCGTGCTTCAGAGCGGTTTGACGCTCGCGAAACGCAGACGCGGTCTCTTCCCGGCCCATCAGATCGGTCAGCACGGAGACTGTCCTGGGATAATTGGTGCAGTACTCGGTGTAGACCTTGAATCCCGCGTTGTGCTCGATAAACGTATTCGCCACGCAGACCGGATCCAAGCCGCATCTCTCGATGTCCCCCAGCAACTCCCTATTGAACACGAAGATGTCCTCGATGTTGCTGAACAGATCGCCGAGGTTCAACTGACGGGCGAACGACGGCGGATCGTCCCGCCAGAAGATCAGATAGCCCTGAATGACTTGGCGCAGGTGCTCGACGTAGATCGCCTCGGTGTCCACGATCTCCAGCAGCACCCTCTCGACGGGATTGCGATGGGGGTCGCAGTAACGCGGTCTGTAGCAGCTCGGACCCTCCTCGGCGCTGTCTCTCCTTCCGGCTCCGGCCTCGTCGCTCAAGATTCTACAACTGGCCTCGGAGACGGTCGCGACTCCGCTGTCCGCTGAGCCCTGCGAGCTCGCGCAGGTGTCCGCGAGGGACTCGACCGAGGCCAGATACGGATTCGCGGCGCAGGTGTTGCCGCCCTGATTGCTGCCGCTGCTGGAGGACGAGCTGGACGCGATGGAGCTCCCAGAGAGCGGTCTACCTCCTCCGTTCCTGACGCGGCGCGTCCTGGTGTACCTGAGGGGGATTAGGCCGTTGCTCTCTCGCCTCTCGTACGTCGGCTTCTCGACGACGACGACGACCTCCCCGTTCTCCACCAGCATGGCGTTGTCGCTGATGTCGCCGACCTCGGCGTACTCGCTCTCCGCTTCTTCCTCGTCTTCTTTCTTGCTGCTCTTCGCCGGTTCGCGGAACTGACCCAGTATGGAGTCTCGATGGGCGCTCGGCACCAGGCTCAGGCGCTTCTGCAGAGCAGGCGGGATGCCGCAGGACGACGGCAGGACCACGTGCTCGCCGGCGTAGTCATCGCTGCGACGCGCCAGCTCGTCAAACATCCCAAGCAGCTGCGGCACCAGGTCCGTGCTAGTGCCTGCGAGTGGAAGTAAATAAAATTAATTTAATTATTATTATTAAATTATTATATTATTTTTTTATTAAATAGATTTAATTGTTATTATTAAATAAATTAAATTATTATTAAAAAGGTAAGAATCTTCTCTCGACCGTACTGGCAAATATTATTTATTATTGATGAATTATTATATATTATTAAATTATTACATTATTTAATAGATTTAATTGTTATTATTAAATAAATTAAATTATTATTAAAAGGTAAGAATCTTCTCTCGACCGTACTGGCAAATATTATTTATTGAATCACAACCCTTCTTTGAGTCCTTATCAAGTGATTTGTAAAAATAAAAATAAAATTATAATTTTAAGATGTCAAGAACGAAGATAGTATCGGTTTGACAACACGTCAAGACGAGTTATAAATTATTATTATTAAATAATTACGTTATTATTATTATTAAATAAATTTAATTATTATTATTATAAAATAAAATAAAATTACACTGAAAAATCAATGTACTTTTATATAGAAATTACTAGAATTTTCCATGTGTAATTCCATGTTCAATGGACTATTTTTAATCTTGAAGATATGTAAGAATATATTTCATACGAAATTACAAATAATCTGTAATCTTCCATATGAGTAGCAATATTGCATAATTATGATGGGTTGGAAAAAAACCCAGTATAATCATGTAATTTTACACGAATATTTTTTTTCAGTGTACGATGTAATTAATATACAGGGTGTCTAATTTTGTAGAAAAAATGCCCTGATCTTCCTGGTACTTTGATTAAAAATTTCAGGTAAAATAAAAAAATTGTAGATGCAGCTTTCGAAAAGTTTCATATATTTTTAATGTTTTTTATTTATGCAATTTAAAAGTTATCAAGAGTGCATCAATTTTTCTAATATTTAATATTGATTTATTAATTGCAAAATTAATTTAAACAACAATAAAGTGCAAATATAAAACAAACAATTTATTAAACATCTTATAAGGAATATTTATTAATTTAAATTAATTATTTATCAAATAAATAAGGAGTTTGGTTTTAAAAATGAAAAAAATTTTTATAAAACTTACATAAAATTTTGATAATAAAATAGATCGTCCATAAAAAAATTACACAAAATTTTAATAAAAACTTAAATATTTGCAAAGGGACATGCTTTTTAAGTTTTAAAAAAAAGAGTAAAATTATCAAAAGTGTAATTTAAAAAGAATTCCCTGAATCCCAATTAAATTCCATGAGAATTCTCCGATTTTTCATGCATACACCCTGAATAAATTACGAATTTGACATTAAAAGATATCAGCTGTGTATTATTAAATCATATTTAGTGATAAGGAGATTAAATTTAAGTGCGGTTAATTTCTAGGATAAGATAATTACCCAAAAGCTTTTTTTAATTGCTCAGAGCGCTTCTTGATCATTTATATCAATAATTTGAATGAAATTTCTCCTTCAAATATTTCTCGGAACAGATTCGACGCGTTTCGAAACATCGTTTTGATTTGTCCCGAATCTTTTTCATTTACTCGAGAGTTCGTCATAAATTTTTGCGAACGAAAGACAGATGCGAGAGAGACTCTGGCAGATGGAAGAGAAATACTATAAATATTAATAATAACCTTCAATTCATCGCGAAGAATGGCTTCGTTCGCGCGAAAATACCGTTAACACTTTCTTTCGCGCAATCAATCATTTCCGATCATATTGAAGATTCTTAGAATGCTGTCTTGAGAAATTACGGGCCCTTCTTGCCACTCGACTTGGCACTTTATTCGTCGAAGCAATTACTCACGACAATTATTTAATTAATTAAGAAATGATCGTGAATGCGAATCATCGTATTGCTATGGCAACATGCTAATGAAAATCCATTTTTCTTATTCTGCATCACATGACATATCGAAAAATGAAATAATAATTATATGCGTATATAGTAATGAATATCTTTAATGCTTTTACCCATACAGCACAAAATATTTTTTAAATCCTTTTCAAATATTTCTTAAAAGATAAAATAAATCTCGAAAATATTTTTAAAATGTTTCTATGTCCGCTTTTCTATTTAAAAAATATTTTTGGTAATAAGAATGTTTAAAAAATATTTTTTAATATCGATTTAATAATATATTTCAAAAATATGTATCAAATATTGAACAAAATATTATCTGAGCGATAAAGAACATTTTTAAAAATATTAAAAATTTTTTTTTAAATATTCTAAAAAATGTTATCACAAAAAATTTTTTAATCATTTTAAAATGTTTTTATGCAATATTTTATAGAAATATTTAGAAATATTTTTTTAAAACATTTATAATATTTTGTGATGAGTTTGAAAACATTTATATTTTGTGATCTTTTGAAAGATTGCATATGAAAAAAATAGAGGATACACATACATCGATATGTACAAATTTTTTTTGATGAAAATTTTATCGTACATCTTTCCTCGTGTCTGTGTTTTAATATTTTATTGTATATAATGTAGAAAATAGATCCATAATTAATTAAAAAATATTTTTGGCATTTGCTTTTTTAATTTTTTTTTATTTTACTAAAAGAGACTATTTTGCTTATTCAGTGCTATATTATTTAAATAATTATTCATACTGTATTATATTTAAACAACTATTTGTACTGTATTATTATTTTGCTTTTTCAGTACTATATTATTTAAATAATTATATTGATTATATTGTAGTTAAATAATTATTTTTACTGATATAAAGATTTTTAAATAAGTAAAAAGCGCCTGCAAATTTCTGAAAACAACACATTTTGTTGAACCAAACCTTACGAGATACATTATATCCGTAAAATACAAAACGGTAAAAGAGAAATTAATAATTCTCGTTTATATCAGATCGATGAATTTATACGCAAGAGGGGCAACAAAGAGGTGAAGAAGAAGGAAAGGCGATCATCTATTGACATATATCCGCGATATTTCATAAATCGTAAAAAAATTTTGCTAATAAAAGCCAGGCAAGAAGGATCGTTGCGCTGCCGTTGGCTGCTTTTATCGTTAATGCGATCGCCTCCAATTAACTCGCTTCCCGTTTATCGGCGCTAAGAGATCAGCTTGTGCCGATCCGATTACTCGCACACGATGTAATTACACGAATATGTACAGCATAGACTGGATATTCGCACTATACAGGATGTCCCAAACGCGTGGATATTTTTTTTCAATTAAACTATGGCGAATCCCGCTTATTCAGACTTAACATTAAAAAAAAACTCAATTTTATCCGCGTAAAATTAAATTAATTAACTTAATTAAATTAAATACATTTAATTAATTAATTAAGTAAAGTAAATTTATTTAATTTAATTAATTAAATTAATTAAGTGTGAAAGAGAATTTTTGGCGTTCGAAATTTACAGAGAAAATTGTCCCCTAGAATTTATCCTGAAAATCATGACAATTGTGGGGTAATATGATATATTGAAAAAATTTTATGAGTTTCTTTGAGATTAATATTTACATTTACCACAATAAAAATATTAATATCTGTCACGATAAGATATAAATTTTATTAAAATAGGTAGCAAAATTTCAATAAAAAAACTATATTAAAATATATTAAAAATTATATAAGAACTTATGATTCTTTAAGTGTTTTAAGTAAAGTAGATGCCAAAAGAGTGATAAACATATAAAATATTTTACATAAATTTTACAATACAACATAATAAAATTGTAGCGAATTTTACGGTAAAATAGTAAATGACGAAAAATTCTCTCCGTGTAATTAATAAATTATGAATTTAACGATGAAATGTCAGAGAGAAATTCTTATAAAATTCTTCCAATATCATATTGTCCCACAATTACCATGATTTTCGGAGTAAATTCTAAGAGAAAATTATCTCCGTGTATACACTCTGGTTACGTAACTATCACACTTTACGTCTAATTATTTTGCCTATTTCATCGCGACGACAGAGATTTCCCGACGACTAGATTGAAAATCGCCGATTAAAATTAGCCGTCTTTCTCTTCTTCTTCAAACATCAAACCGGAGAGAAATTCCAGCCGCTGCGGATGAGCTCGAGTGGAGGAAGGATGAATTTAAGACACACCCTGTATGCAATCATCGCGATCTCGCACATGGAAGTCGATTGTGATGTGTATAAACAAACGGGAGTAGGATTTTCAATTTCCTCGACGTGAAATCAACATCGTCCGCAAATGTACTGCTACTGGTGCGCAATCACGTAGGTTTGCACTCGTGATTTATTTTAATTTATTTTTTTTATGACAACGCACAAATGTATATTACACTTACACACGCACAAATACGTATATTTATCCGTGGAATTCTCTGTCTCTCCGATACGGATATATAAAATATGCAAATCGTCCGCGATTCTAAGCGCGTCCCCGATTCTTCGTGTCTCTCCCTCGGATTTACTCGTCGCAATATTATCTCAGTCTCCCAACTTGTGCACTCTTGGCTGGAAGTTCCTCTAATAATAGGAACACAGGGCACACACGGACTTTCATGCGATTTAAGACCGCCTCGTCTAGACCTCGATGTTTCAGTAATTTTACAAACAAATATATTGATGGAATAATTGACTCTTTAACTATTTTACCGACTTTGAGTTCAAGGCCTTTTCTTTTTATTGGTTATACAAATTGAAAAATCCTTCTCTACTAAAGTACTCTATTAAAGTTCTCTATTAAAGTATCGATAATAATGAACGGGGAGCGTTGTAATTTTGTATAAAAAAACAAAGTTAAAAAAATTACAGTTGTTTATCGGCCTTTTGCATCAGCTCATAAAAATACTTATTAAATACAAAAGTTTTGCAGTTTATTTGTGCACAAAATATGGCGCTCCCAATAGAGTTGACATGAAAGAATAATACAAAAGTAATAAAAATGAGATTAAAAGTCTGGAGGATTTTTCAATCTGTATATTCAAGAAAAAGTGAACCTAACTTAACATAAAATCGGTAAAACAGAACTACGGCAGCATCCCT